GGTAACAAGCTGAGATTAGGAGCACTCCCTTTAAGAGTGTGCTCTTAATCTCAGCTCGTTACCTGTATAAAAGACACCTGGGAGCCAGAAATCTTTCTGATTGAGAGGGGGTCAAATACTTATTTCCCTCATTAAAATGCAAATCAATTTATAACATTTTTGACATGCGTTTTTCTGGATTTTTTTGTTGTTAGTCTGTCTCCCACTGTTCAAATAAACCTACCATTAAAATCATAGACTGATCATTTCTTTGTCAGTGGGCAAACGTACAAAATCAGCAGGGGATCAAATAATTGTTTCCCTCACTGTATAAGGGTGCCCATGTTTACGGATTTAGGGTTGTACCTGGTAGGTTCCTTGATAATTTGTGTGAGATTGAGGGCATCTAGTTTGGATTGTAGGATGGCTGGTGTGTTAAGCATATCCCAGTTTAGGTCACCAAGCAGTACAAACTCTGAGGATAGATGGGGGGAAATCAATTCACATATGGTGTCCAGGGCACAGTTGGGGGCTGAGGGGGGTCTGTAGCAAGCGACAACAGTGAAATACTTATTTCTGGAAAGGTGGATTTTTAGAAGTAGGAGCTCAAACTGTTTGGGCACAGACCTGGATAGTATGATAGAGCTCTGCAGGCTATCTCTACAGTAGATTGCAACTCTACCCCCTTTGGCAGTTCTATCTAGACAGAAAATGTTGTAGTTGGGGATGGAGATTTTGCATTTTTGGTGGCCTTCCTAAGCCAGGATTCAGACACTGCTAGAACATCAGGGTTGGTGGAGTGTGCTAACACAGTGAATAACTCAAACTTAGGGAGGAGGCTTCTGATGTTAACGTGCAAAAAACCAATGCTTTTACGGTTACAGAAGTCAACTAATTATAGCTCCTGGGGAGTAGGAGTGATACTGGGGGCTACAGGGCCTGGGTTAACCTCTACATCACCAGAGGAACAAAGGAGGACTAGAATAAGTATACGGCTAAAGGCTTTAAGAACTGGTCTTCTAGTGCATTGGGTACAGAGAATAAAGGTGGCAGATTTCCGGGCGTTGTAGAATAGATTCAGGGCATTATGTACAGACAAGGATATGGAAGGATATGCGTACAGTGGAGGTAAACCTAAGCGTTGGGTAACAATGAAAGAGATAGCATCACTGGAGGCACCGATTGAGCCAGTCTCCGCGTGTATGGGGGGTGGAACAAAGGAGCTATTTGAGGCAGTTTGAGAGGGACTTGGGGCTTTACAGTGAAATTGTATAATAAGAACTAACTGGGACAGCAATAGGTAAGGCATATTGACATGGGAGAGAAGCATAAAGCAATCACAGGTGTTATTTGAGAGAGCTAAGACAACAACTGGTAATGGCGATGAAAGTTTGGGCTGAGGCTAAACAGATAAACAGGACAGGGTACCATGTAAAGGAACAGTCCAGCAGGCATCAGCTGTGCAGCTGAGTGATCGTAAGGTCCAGTGAACAGCAATATGTGAGTCCGAGAGCAGTTCGAATTGGTGCTACAGCACTGGCTAGCAGGAAGCACGGCTGTTGTTTGCGTGTGCTAGCAGGCCGGGGCTAGCAGATGGATCTTCGTAGTCGTCGCAACGGGAAGCCTGTTGAAACCACAGACGATTACGTCGGCAGACCAGTCGTGATGGTTCGGTGGGGCTCCGTGTCGACTCTAGGAGGTCCCGTCCGGTTGACAGAGAGGTAGATAGCGGGGAGATGGGCCTGACTCGAGGGTAGGTCAAGGCTGATTAGCCAACAACAACATCAATTTGGTTGCAGCTAGCTAGTTGCGATGATCCAGAATTAAAGGTCCAGTGATTCAGTGATTCCGGCAGAAAAACCGATATGTTCTGGGTCGATAACGCGCTGTGCAGACAGTACAGACTGGCCGATAATAGTCCAGGCTAGAGCTGGCTGGTAGGTAGTGCAGGCCACGGTTAATGGTGAAAAACCGCTAACGGTGGCTAATAGCAAGTAGCTAGTTAGCTGGCTACTCCCGTCCGGTAGACAGAGAGGTAGATAGCCGGGATATGGGCCTGGCTCGAGGCTAGCTCAAGGCTAACTGGTGCTTGCTTCGGGGGCAGTGGTGATTAGCCAACAGCAACATCCATTTGGTTGCGGCTAGCTAGTTGCGATCCGGTGTTAATGTCCAGTGATTCAGTTATTCCGGCAGAAAATCCGATGTTCTGGGTGAAAACCGCTAACGGTGGCTAATAGCAAGTAGCTAGTTAGCTGGCTAGCTAGTTTCAACTGGAGATTCTAGATAAAAGGTAAGTCAATAATTTTAAGTAATTAATTTGCATTTTATTGCATGACAAAAGTATTTGATACATCAGAAAAGCAGAACTTAATATTTGGTACAGAAACCTTTGTTTGCAATTACAGAGATCATACGTTTCCTGTAGATCTTGACCAGGTTTGCACACACTGCAGCAGGGATTTTGGCCCACTCCTCCATACAGACCTTCTCCAGATCCTTCAGGTTTCGGGGCTGTCGCTGGGCAATACGGACTTTCAGCTCCCTCCAAATATTTTCTATTGGGTTCAGGTCTGGAGACTGGCTAGGCCACTCCAGGACCTTGAGATGCTACTTACGGAGCCACTCCTTAGTTGCCCTGGCTGTGTGTTTCGGGTCGTGGTCATGTTGGAAGACCCAGCCACGACCCATCTTCAATGCTCTTACTGAGGGAAGGAGGTTGTTGGCCAAGATCTTGCGATACATGGCCCCATCCATCCTCCCCTCAATACGGTGCAGTCGTCCTGTCCCCTTTGCAGAAAAGCATCCCCAAAGAATGATGTTTCCACCTCCATGCTTCATGGTTGGGATGGTGTTCTTGGGGTTGTACTCATCCTTCTTCTTCCTCCAAAAAACGGCGATTGTAGTTTAGACCAAAAAGCTCTATTTCTGTCTCATCAGACCACATGACCTTCTCCCATTCCTCCTCTGGATCATCCAGATGGTCATTGGCAAACTTCAGACGGGCCTGGACATGCGCTGGCTTGAGCAGGGGGACCTTGCATGCGCTGTAGGATTTTAATCCATGACGGCGTAGTGTGTTACTAATGGTTTTCTTTGAGACTGTGGACCCAGCTCTCTTCAGGTCATTGACCAGGTCCTGCCGTGTAGTTCTGGGCTGATCCCTCACCTTCCTCATGATCATTGATGCCCCACGAGGTGAGATCTTGCATGGAGCCCCAGACCGAGGGTGATTGACCGTCATCTTGAACTTCTTCCATTTTATAATAATTGCACCAACAGTTGTTGCCTTCTCACCAAGCTGCTTGCCTATTGTCCTGTAGCCCATCCCAGCCTTGTGCAGGTCTACAATTGTATCCCTGATGTCCTTACACAGCTCTCTGGTCTTGGCCATTGTGGAGAGGTTGGAGTCTGTTTGATTGAGTGTGTGGACAGGTGTCTTTTATACAGGTAACGAGTTCAAACAGGTGCAGTTAATACAGGTAATGAGTGGAGAACAGGAGGGCTTCTTAAAGAAAAACTAACAGGTCTGTGAGAGCCGGAATTCTTACTGGTTGGTAGGTGATCAAATACTTATGTCATGCAATAACATGCAAATTAATTACTTAAAAATCATACAATGTGATTTTCTGGATTTTTGTTTTAGATTCCATCTCTCACAGTTGAAGTGTACCTATGATAAAAATTACAGTCCTCTACATGCTTTGTAAGTAGGAAAACCTGCAAAATCGTCAGTGTATCAAATACTTGTTCTCCCCACTGTATTTAGTAGAAGGATGAAAAGTGTGATAGGGAAAAATGTACGAAAAATATAAAAAACGGGCTATTTACACGGACACACACATAGCACACGACCGCACTGCTACGCCATTTCCAAGTGCATAACTATAGAGAACATACAAAAATGATATGGTAATACAAAATGTAAGTTTACACACTCCCAGGAATGTCATACATGATGGATCATTAGCTTATACACTAACTTTCACACATCTAGATGGCCAGGCAGGGTGGGTGTGGAGCCAGTGACAGCAAGGGTTCAAACTGTAGAACCCAGCTCCTACATTTGAATATAGAAATTTATTTTATCAAACAAAACTATGCTACATTTTATCTCTGGGACCCTCAGGATGACAAATCAGAGCAAGATTACTGAATGTAAGTACATTATTTACCTTCAGAGGTGAATGTATCAAACCAGTTGCCGTGATACGTTCTTTGTTGTTGTGCGCTCTCCTCAAACAATAGCATGGTATTTTTTCACTGTAATAGCTACTGTAAATTGGACAGTACAGTTAGATTAACAAGAATGTAAGCTTTCTGCCCATATAAGACATGTCTATGTCCTGGAAAGTTTGCTGTTACTTACAACAGTCATGCTAATCACATTAGCGCACATTAGCTCAACAGTCCCGTATACGGGACACCGATCCCGTAGAGGTTAATGTAACTAGCCTAAATATAGATTGTGTCATGCCTTTATCGATCAGTTATTTTGTTTACTGTTCTGATATTCTGTTCGCATTCAGTCGTTCAAATTCGCAGTTGTGTCAGTATTCTAAGCCAAACTGCTATTCAGTATTTTTATTTGCATGCATGATTACATAGGCTACTACTTTCAGCATTTAGTTTGTATTATTTTGGTAAGACAGCTGTGTGTATGTCTGCATTCACATAAGCTATTCACATAATTTATATTTATAAATATCTCAGATTAAACCAGACTGTATTCAACCTTAATGGCTCCCCAACCTAGACCATCGTTTTTGTCGCCCTCTGCAGGCCACAAACCTCACATTTACGTCATTTAGCAGACGGTCTTATCCAGAGCGACTAACAGTTAGTGAGAGCATACATTTTTCATGTTTCGTATTAGAAAGAAGTCGATTTCTTATTGAAATTAATTCCCCCAAAATACTGTTGAAAATAACGCACAAAGGGGACATTAAATGTATAAACCAGAGAAAGAGTTTTTTGAAACGTCATAGCATTGCGACAGAATGGACTGTGACTCATTCTGATGACGTGGTTCACAGTTCAGTAAGTTGACAGCTCAACAACTCGTTTCCACAATGCAAAAAAATCAACAAAATAACCACGTTTTCACGTGTTTGTTGACATTTGTATTGTAGTCATACATGAGCTGAATGCAGATCCTTTGAACTGAAAGTGTTCTATAGATTTTAGTCCGTGGTTTCCCGATCAAAATGTCGTTTCTTATGGATTCAGTGATCATGTTCACCTCACAGGTAAGAATAGCTAGCTATCTTTTCTTGGGTGGCTGTCCTTCTAGCTAGCTAACCGTTAGTGTAACCTTACAAGAAACTGCTAGCTACTATAACACCACTTTTGGCTCCCGTTGCTTAACCAGCTATCATGTTAGGCATTTAGAATGTTGGCACATACTATGTCTGGGGCAAGTTTACTAACGTGAAACTCTTTCAACTCTCTTGACCCAGGTGTTCTTCTTTGGCTTTGGGTGGCTGTTCTTCATGCGGCAGCTGTTCAAAGACTATGAGGTATGTTATTTAGTTACTACACAAGTACTGTTATATCAGTTATGATTTGGTAGACAGTAATCTACATACCTTGTATTTATTTTTGTAGCTGTTCCTGGACTGTTTTTGTTTAAGAACAGTTGTGAGAACCAGCATGAAACAGACTGATCCATCAGCATGGGTGTTTACACAGTAGTGATCTATTGAGAATGAACTTACAGAGATCTAACTCTGTGGTCATGTTCCGGTCAACAGGTACGGCAGTATGTGGTCCAAGTGGTGTTCTCCATCACCTTTGCCTTCTCCTGCACCATGTTTGAGCTCATCATCTTTGAGATATTGGGTGCCTTAGAAACTAGGTAAGTACAATGGTTTAATTCATTCTTTACATGACCATGTTCATTCGGTATGATACTTTGCTCTCCATCAACCAGCTAAAATAGGCTAGCTGATGTCCTTGTATCTGTGTTCCTCAGTTCCAGGTATTTCCACTGGAAGTTCAACCTGTATGTGATTCTACTGGTTCTAATCTTCGTCGTGCCTTTTTATATCGGCTACTTTGTCGTCAGCAACATCCGCCTGTGTGAGTGACATTTTGTCCATATTATTCCAGCTGTAGCATAATTCCATTGATCCTTCCGTGTTTGATGCTACAGAATGTATGATGGGTGCTGTCTTGCTGGGGATTCTCACATGCAGTCTCTGAAGTGTATGTTGTGTGTTTGTGTTCAGTGCAGAGACAGAAGCTGCTCTTTGCCTGTGTCGTCTGGTTTACCTTCATGTATTTCTTCTGGAAGTTGGGGGACCCTTTCCCCATCCTCAGTCCCAAACATGGTGAGTGCCTGCCCTGCCCCCTCGCCCTATTCTCACTGCTGTGTGTAAGGCTCTATTCCAAACACATTTCCAATTCACACATGCATATTCATACACACTTGTACATGTGTGAAATAGAACAAATATAAGCACCAACCAAATTATTATAAGGACTGGATGGTAACAGTGATTGTAAATAATGTTTCTTTCTATACCTGTTTCTGTACCTCAGGTATCCTGTCCATCGAGCAGCTGATCAGTCGTGTTGGGGTCATAGGGGTCACGCTGATGGCTCTATTGTCCGGCTTTGGTGCTGTCAACTGCCCTTACACCTACATGTCCTACTTCCTACGGTTAGTGGACTAAGTCTATATAGTCCAAAACAGCATTAAACAACTACATTACCTACAATCCCATTCTCTAACTCCCCATAGACGTCTGCTACTCTACTTCTCACATACTCTATGCGTCACAACTAAATGACCTACACTCTCATTCACCACTACCCTCACTACATTTATACCTATGTGATGCATTGCATCTTTATCTACAGGAATGTGACAGAGAGTGATATTCTTGCCTTGGAGAGGAGACTTCTTCAGACCATGGACATGATCGTCAGCAAGAAGAAACGGTGAGAGAGAGAGAAAGGGAGAGGGGAATATATGTATCTAGAGAGAGCATAGAGACCCTTACCTTTTTCTGATAATGAAGTCATTCTAAGGCTCTAGTGTACTTTTCTGTTGTCCTGTGCCAGTGTTTGGTATCATGCGTTTTGTGTTTTATCTGTATAGCATTGCCATGACGCGGAGGCAGATGTACCAGCGAGGGGAGGACCAGAACAAACAGACGGGATTCTGGGGCATGATCAAGAGTGTCACCTCCTCACCAACAGGCAGCGAGAGTATCCTTCACTCCTCATAATGGGAAGTGTGTGTTTTTGTTGTGTGTGTGTGTATGGTTCCTTGACCCCCCCTCTCCAGATTTGTCTCTGATCCAGCAGGAAGTGGATGCTCTGGAGGAGCTGAGTCGCCAGCTCTTCCTGGAGACAGTGGACCTGCAGGCCACCAAGGTAACGCATGAGCGCGCTCGCATAACGGGGGCGAGACCACCGGTCCAGTTGAACCATGATAAAAACCCTATTTACTGTTGACGAGCAGATTGTATATCATTCAAACACACATCTTTATTTGAACTATATCTAAATGTCCCAAATGGACATGTCCAAAGAGATGAAAAAGTTAAAAGTTCTGTTTTAAAAATATTTTTGGAATGTTCTGTGGTCCCCCAACGGCAGGCACACATTGAGGGCTCCAATTTAGTAGCAATTGCAGCAGGCCTCTCCTGGGTGGTGTTGTACTGAGTGAAAGACAAAGATTCTGTCAGCAAAGGACACTGTTGCACTAAGGTGCCGTAGGCCAAATACACAACTCCACAATACACATTCAACAAATTCACAATAAACCAAAATAGTTACTAAATAAAGGAATACAGTAATATCAAAGCAAAAACAAATGATAATGGAAAATAGTAACTAAATTCACACAAGGTAATGCAAATACAAAATAAATGGAGAGGCAAGGGATAGTGGTTCAGGTAACGTTATCGGGTATTCTTTAGAGGACAATGTCTATTCACAATAGTCTTTGGAGCAAAAGCTAGTGGGGGGACAGTTCAGATGTGAGCTGGTAGGGTTCAGCCAGAAAATGAGCTTTAATCCACAATGTTTTGCAATCCAATGGCTATATGGAATTCGAGGGTTGTCCATGGCTACGGCTGCGGCTGAAATCGGAGAGGCGCAGGCTACTTAATTTAGGGATTGTGAATGTGTTTCACCCTCCCAGTACCCCAAAAGGCCTCCTCTCTGGTTCAATCTGGTTTACAGTAGTTTGTTGCGTCGATGGCCATCTGTAGTGTGCGGGGCTCAGGTCCACGCAGCTATAAATTCAGTCCACAGATACACTGACATTAATGAGTGCGTAGCACGCAAATCAGTAGAGAATGTCAACAGGCTGCGCTATCAGGAGAACTGTTGGAGATGGGATATGGAGAGGTACTTAGCTTTGAGGAAGGGTGAAGTGTTCTCCCGCCCAATTTCCTGTCCCTCCCGCTCGCCGGCAGCCGTCAATTTGATTCGCAGTGACTCGTTGTCTCATAGTATGCTACAGGTTCAAGCCACAGATACATTGGCATTAATGAGTGCGTATGACACAACACAGTAGAGAATGTCCACATACGGCGCTATCAGGCATTATGTTGGAGTTGGATATGGAGAGGTACTTAGCTTTGGGAAGGGTGACACGTTCACCCTCCCAATTCCCCAAAAGGCCTTTTCTCTGTCTCCTCTGGTCCAGGTCCTCTACAGCTACAGCATGTCGTCATCAGTCGCCTCGGTTCTGGCTCTGTAACTGCTCTGCTCACAGCTCACATCGTCCCACACAGCTCACAACGTCCTGCACCTTAAATAAAGAACAGGTTTGAGCAACTCACCGGTCCCAATTTAGTGACGCTTTAATTACTTACTCTCGTGATCAAAAGGGGGAAAAAGAGTGCGCATCTATATCTGTCTCGGTAAAACATGTACCAGGTGAATACGATTCTGGCCTGGGCATATAATGCAATGTAAGAGGGCAGCTTCTAGTCAGATACATAGTCACCCATGTGACACACACGTATCTATCTTAACCTACTACTACTACTAATATACTACTACTAATACAAAGTAAATAAATAGTAATTCAACACTTGGGCACAGTTCATTCAGGGCTCAGAGATTCACAGGAAGCCCATCACTGCAGCCAACTCCCAACACCCCAGGAATGGCTTCCAGTTTCTCAATGTCTTCATCAGAAAAGAGCGGCCACTCCTCGCCAGAGCTCAGTCTGGGCTGGTAGGCCTTCGTCACACCCCTGTAAAACTCAACTTTGCGCCTCAGTTCTATGTGCTGGTGGAATAGACGTTGTTTCCCCTGCTCAGGAAGCTGCTGATTGTGGTATCGGAAGCTGGCCATTTGTAGGGACTTCCAGTACCACTCACAATTGTAGACCTCTGAGAGACTCGGGAGGTCCTGACCTAAATTCACACATAAAACCAGATCTATGGTTAGGTACCTAAATGAATTCTAATTATAATGAGAGATACACAAAAATAAGCAATGAACCAAATCCTGGTAAGAATACAATATTTCTTACCATTGTTGATTTAGTCTGATGGTCTTGCAGGAAGATACTGATGTCCCTGTGCCATCCGTGGTACAGACTGGTTGAATCGCCGGGTATTGAAGCTCATTTCTGAAATATGGATAATCTTGGAAAGCAGAAACCAGTTGCACATCTAGTCTTGGGGTTGTTGTCACCAAAGAGTCCAAAATGATCGAGTTCCAAATCAAATGAAAATAAAGGTGCCTAACAACCAAATATTCTAAACTGAAACATTATATTAAAGTAAACAGGATTTAATTTCAAAGCATACTCTCTTTTCTGTATTACCATATTCCCAAACAAATTATGAGTGCGAAATAACAGGTAAATATTATTAATTCAGAGGGGATTTCATGATACATTATTTCCCCCCCCCATATTACAGTGTGTTCGGAAAGTATTCAGACCCCATTACTTTTTCCACATTTTGTTACTTTACAGCCTTATTCTAAAATTGATTGAATTGTTTTTTCCCCTTATCAATCTACACACAATATCCCATAATGACAAAGCAAAAACTGGTTTTTAGAAATGTTTGCAAATTTATAAAATATAAAAAACTGAAAACACATTTACATAAGTATTCAGACCCTTTACTCAGTACTTTGTTGAAGCACCTTTGGCAGCGATTACAGCTTCAAGTCTTCTTGGGTATGACGCTACAAGCTTGGCACACCAGTATTTGGGGAGTTTTTCCCATCCTTCTCTGCAGATCCTCTCAAGCTCTGTCAGGTTAGATGGGGAGCATCACTGCAGAGGTTTTTTCAGGTCTCTCCGGAGATGTTCGATCGGGTACAGGTCCGGGCTCTAGCTGGGCCACTCAAGGACATTCAGAGACTTGTCCCGAAGCCACTCCTGCGTTGTCTTGGCTGTGTGCTTAGGGTCGTTGTCCTGTTGGAAGGTGAACCTTCGCCCCAGTCTGAGGTCCTGAGCGCTCTGGAGCAGGTTTTCATCAAGGATCTCTCTGTACTTTGCTCTGTTCATCTTTGCCTCGATCCTGACTAGTCTCCCAGTCCCTGCCGCTGAAAAAACAGGTTTCCTCCAGACGTGACGCTTGGCATTCAGGCAAAAGAGTTCAATCTTTGTTTTGTCAGTCAAGAAAATCTTGTCTTTAGGTGCCTTTTGGGAAACTCCAAGCAGGCTGTCATGTGCCTTTTACTGAGGAGTGGCTTCCATCTGGCCACTCTACCATAAAGGCCTGATTGGTGGAGGGCTGCAGAGTTGGTTGTCCTTCTGGAAGGTTCTCCCATCTCACCAGAGGAACTAGAGCTCTGTTAGAGTGACCATCAGGTTCTTGGTCACCTTCCTGACCAAGGCCCTTCTCCCCTGATTGCTCAGTTTGGCCGGGCGGCCAGCTCTAGTAAGAGCTCTAGTGGTTCCAAACTTCTTCCATTTAAGAATGATGGAGGCCACTGTGTTCTTGGGGAACTGCAATGCTGCAGACATTTTTTGGTATCCTTCCCCAGATCTGTGCCTCGACACAATCCTGTCTCGGAGCTCTAGGTACAATTCCTTCGACCTCATGGCTTGATTTTTGCTCTGACATGCACTGTCAACTGTGGGACCTTATATAGACAGGTGTGTTCCTTTCCAAATCATGTCCAATCAATTGAATTTACCACAGGTGGACTCCAATCAAGTTGTAAAAAAATCTCAAGGATGATCAATGGAAACAGGATGCACCTCAGCTCAATTTCGAGTCTCATAGCAAAGGGTCTATGAATTCTTATGTAAATAAGGTATCTGTTTTTTATTTAATTTTTTATAAATTTGCAACAATTTCTAGAAACCTGTTTTCGCTTTGTCATTATGGGGTATTGTGTGTAGATTGCATAACCCCCCCCCCCAAAACGATGTAATCCATTTTAGAATAAGGCTCTAACATAACAAAATGTGGAAAAAGTCAAGGGGTCTGAATACTTTCCGAAGGCACTGTGTGTTCTTTGTCACACATAGAGACATGCACGCTTGCCCTGCACACACACCGGCATGCATGCACACACACACACACACACGATGTCCAGGTCTTGTATGTAGTGGACTAAGGCTATTGTAATGTACATTTGGTTTTTAGTAATGTGTCTTTGTCTCTCTTCTCTCTCCCGGCCTGTAGGAGCGGATTGAGTACTCCAAGACATTCCAGGGGAAATACTTTAACTTCCTGGGTTATTTCTTCTCCATTTACTGTGTGTGGAAAATCTTCATGGTGAGAGTCACGCACTTACAGACAGCCTGACTGAGACCTAGACTCATCTCGCCCAACTTGCTTTTGCTTAGCCTGCTTGACAGCCTGAAAAACAGCTAGATGTGTCTGTCAGTTTAGAGAATATCCAGTGTGGCTTTTGATCTCTTTTTAACTGTAATTCAAAACAATTAGGCCTGTTCTACCCATATAGTTTTGGGTTTATACTTCCTGTACCGTCAGTGTGTTATCATAGCCACATCAGGCCCCAGAGCTATATCTGTAGTAATCTTTGTTTTTTGTCCCTCTAAGGCCACCATCAACATTGTGTTTGACCGTGTAGGGAAGACTGATCCAGTGACGAGAGGGATTGAGATCACAGTTAACTACCTGGGCATTCAGTTTGATGTAGGCTCTTCCACATGCATATGCTCTCACTCACTCTCTCACTCACTCTCTCACTCACTCATTCTCTCACAGTCACATGTCGTACAAAACGTTTCCAGTCATGTTAATGATTGTCCATTTATTAAAGTATCCTTCTGCAGTAAAGTTGTTCCTGACCTCTGATCTATTTCAACATTTTTTCAAAGTAAATTTAGGAGGTCCATAAATAGTAGTTGTGTTGGCATGTTTTGTTGTTGCTCTAGTGTTCCTTACATATCCTCTACTCTGCAGGTGAAGTTCTGGTCTCAGCACATCTCCTTCATCCTGGTGGGCATCATCATCGTCACCTCTATTAGAGGCCTTCTCATCACACTCACTAAGGCAAGCCATCTACAGACAGGAAGTTGTCAGTCTACATAGGCATGTTACCATGTACCCTAACCCCAAATCTTGTCTGTCTGTTTCTCTCTAGTTCTTCTATGCCATCTCCAGCAGCAAGTCTTCCAATGTTATAGTGCTGGTCCTGGCTCAAATTATGGTCAGTATGTCATTTTGATTATGCAATGTGTATGACAGAGCAGAGGGCATATTATTTCAGTGCAAAGCTAACGTTTTTGTGATCAGTTGTATATTAGATTTTTTCAATAAATACAAGAGCAAAGACGACTGACATCCTCTGTGTCTCTCTCTCTGTGTCTCTCGCTCTCTCTGTCGCTCTCTCTGTGTCTCTCTCTGCATCTCTCTCTCTCTGCATCTATCTCTCTCTCTCTCTCTCTCTCTGTCTCTCTCTCTCTCTGTGTGTGTCTCCTCTCTCTCTGTGTCTCTCAGGGGATGTACTTTGTGTCGTCCGTTCTCCTCATGAGGATGAGCATGCCTCTGGAGTATCGCTCCATCGTGACCGAGGTGCTGGGAGAGCTGCAGTTCAACTTCTACCACCGATGGTTCGATGTCATCTTCCTCGTCAGCGCCCTCTCAAGCATCCTCTTCCTCTACCTCGCCCACAAACAGGCGCCCGAGAAGCACATGACCCCCTAGCACATGACCCCCTGACCCCACTCTGAACTTGACCCCCTAGCACATGACCCCCTGACCCCACTCTGAACTTGACCCCCTAGCACATGACCCCCTGACCCCACTCTGAACTTGACCCCCTAGCACATGACCCCCTGACCCTACTCTGAACTTGATCTTTGACCCTTAGGTTACCTTTCCCAACATTTCCCTGGAGGCTCAGGGGTGTCCAGAACTGATCTTTGATTCTCTGTTGGATTTTGATCTTCTCTTAATTAATCTCTGGTCTGTCTGTGTGGTGGAGAGTAGAGCCTGTACTTCCTGAATCAGGAATGGCCGACGTGTGGCCATGTGGACCGTTGGTGTCGGGCAGAGTCAATGGAGGGCAATTGGAGTCATGGAAGACTGGACTTGGGTTGGGTTTAACGTGGGGGGTAATGACTCATATAATGTAACTACAGTACTTGAAATCGGGACTTAATTGTTCTTTGCAAAAATGAAAATGGGATATTTTACAATGATGATGATTATGATATTTCATTGTGCTGTTGCCCCATTGGACCGAGGTTCTGTCTAGCCTTAAATCAATCTGACCAGAGCAGAACTGCCTAGTATACAGCACAGACCAGCTTCACTGTAACAGTAGCTTTGTTTTGTGAACGGGGTTGTAAATATGTGTTTACACCCTATTTTTGACAGACAGAATAATCCAAATTATCGTTTAAATGTAACAAATGTCTACCAGTATTCCCCAATGTCCATGAAGCTATTGGCTAGCATCTTTCATGGTGTCCAGTCTGTACATGCCATGTTCCTGGGGTGGCATGTATATCTACGGTATTTATTCTACCAAGACAGATGAGAAGGCTTCAGAATAAATCAATTTATGTGGCTATTAATGAGTTAGCTATTCATTACTCTACTCCCTATATGTTCATCAGTAAGTACTGCAATGCCCCTATACATACACCACTTATAAACAGGGATCTGGTCGAGGATAGTTCATTCTCTTTGTGAGAGCAGTACATCTGAGCAGAAAGACACAATGGCTCTTTGGGTATGCTAAAACAAATCTAATTTAATTCATAAATTACAATAGTTTTAATGATATGTAAAAGACAGCATTATTATTCAGGTGTAGTAGACCTCTGTCACTATGGTTACTGTAACAGTTAAACACATTGAACTGGCAATACTAGTGTTCTCGGTCTACATTGCAGGTGTTCGTAATAAGATTAGAATAACTGATCAATGTAGTTATACATTAATGGCTATTTATTGCTATTTCAAACCGATTTGCATTGATACCTAAAACCAGCCTCTGTCATCTGAATGTATTACGTTTGATCAAAGTTCTTGAGCAGGGATACCTGCATTATCCAGCATGTTGCAAAGGTTGATGGGAGACAGAAAAAGTCATAACAGGAAGTTGTTTCTCATTGCTGACTTCTCAGAGTCTCTCATCAACGCTCGGGCAAGATGATGCTGCTGATGACACAGATGGAGTCTAGGAGAGAGAAAGAGAGTTAAATCATTTTCTGTAATAGAACTGTGGGCAAATACAATTGCTACTAACTTGCTTTTAACTACTTTGGTTTAACTCTGTAAATTCAGGATAATTTGGATCTAGTTCAGAAGCCACCAAGGCACTCAAGGAACACATTTATGTTACGTCACTCACCCTCTCTCGTGCCTGGGGCGGCGGGGTGTCTGGCTTAGCAGCCTCCTCCTCCTCCTCCTCCTCCTCCTCCCCGACCTCCTCCAGAGTGGCTGGGGTGTCTATCTGGGCTGGTGTGTGGCTCCGTGCTAGGGACGGGGACGGGGCTGGGGATGGGGACCTGGCTCGGGACGAGGGGGCGAAGAGCTGAGGAGTGATTGCCACCCCTTTGGCTTTGAAGTGGTCGTAGGCCTGCTTCCCTGCAACTAGGAGCACCAGCGAGCTGCCACTCTTACGGATCAACCCCACCACTTGCTCGTGACTGCTCTGCTCCACGTTCACACCGTCCACCTCCACCACCATGTCATCGTCCTCCAGACCAGCCCTGTCCGCGGCTCCACCCTTCACTACCTGACAGAGAAGACAGCAAGGGGTGAGCTGAGTTGTGAATGGTTTGGAACGTAAACAACAGTTGACAGATGCTGAATGACAGGAGTGTTTCAGTAGTACGAAATGTTATGCTAGCATGTGCTTTGTTCCCTTGATCTTTCCCATATCTGATTGACAACCTTTTGTAGTTCATGTATTTGGGTTGCATTCTCTTGTCTGTTAGGCTACCTGTTGGATATAGGTAGGTGCTCTGTACATTGTACTTACCTCTTTGATGTACTGGCCACAGACTCCCTGGATACCGTTGAGGTGGAAGCCGTACCCGGCGGAGGTCTTCTCCATCTTACACAGCTTGAGGAGGTCTGTGGTAGCTGGGGCTGGGGCTGGAGCTGGGGCTGGGGCTGGGGCTGGGGCTGGGGCTGGGGCTGGAGCTGGGGCTGGGGCTGGGGCTGGGGCTGGGGCTGGGGCTGGAGCTGGGGCTGGGAATGGGGCTGGCACACACTCTGGGTAGCTGGGTGGAGGGGTTGCTGGAAGGAGGGATTCCATCATCTCTTCCAAGTAGAACAGAGGAGACACGCCTCCCTGTGGAAGATCATAATTAATCTCAGACCTACAGTAGTCTTCTTGACTGCCCTTCGGTTTCTGGACAGTTCCTGAGACTGTATACACTATGAAATGACTGCCACTTAGCCTCAAAGTTTTTCAACTTTAGTAGGCTTTTTGAATGGTCTTCAAAGCGCAAAAACATTATAAAAGGAATTAATCCTCCAACTTCTATCCCCAAGCAATACGACTAACAAAATAACTACACGGACTATCTGAGTTTACCTTGTATCTTCATTTACCTTTTATTTCAATCTTTGCACTGTCTCTATGCACACTCACAGGGCCCTACACACACACACACACACACACACACAAACACTCACTCTATCATTTTCTCACTCACACATAATATGCACATACATTTATACTGACTCTACACCCCCGCACACCCACTCACATGCAAGCTGCTGCTACTCTGTTGCCTAGTCACCTTACCCCTATACATATCTACCTCCATCACTCCAGTATCCCTGCACATGTAAATATGGTATTGGATCTGACTTTTTAAATATTTCCTGTATATATTATGCTTACTTACTTACTTTATTGTGTATTTCATATTTCCTATTCTTATTTCTCATGTTTCTTTTGTGTAATACATTGTTATTGATTTATTGCATTGTTGGGTTTTGAGTTTGCAAGAAAGGCATTTCACTGTACTTGTGCATGTGACATTAAAACTCAAATCATATTTTATTTGTCACATACACGTGTTTAGCAGATGTTATTGCGGGTGTAGCGAAATGCTTGTGCTTCTAGCTCCGACAGTGCAGTAATATCTAACAAGTAATATATAACAATTTCACAACATATACCCAATACACGCAAATCTATGTAAGGAATGGAATTTAAGAATATATACATATACATATACATATAAGGACAAGCAATGACAACGCGGCATGGACTAAGACACAGTAGAATATTATAGAACACAGCTGGATATATCTTAAATGACCGTGTTTTCAAGAATTTTCTAACATAATCGTGAAGCCTTTTCAAAAGATTAGTGGACATGATCCGGAAGTAAAGCGGAAGGGGCGGTTACTTTCACACGGTTTTCAAACAGTTTGTGCTCATCAGTATCAGATCCAGCTTCATTACAATCCAAAAGGCAAAACTGATCCTAGATCAGCACTCCTACTCTGAGACACTGTGAATATGGACCCAGATGTGTAGGCCGATGTGCTTTAGCCAACTCCTATGACTGTCATTTCATACATTTATTTCCTAAATCCAAAAAGAAAGATTGATCCCAGAACCCTCACCATCTTGTAGAGCGTGTCAGTGTCTTCATCGACCACCAGGAGGCAGCACTTGTTGCCACACTGCCTGATCCTGTCCACCACCTGCTCATGGCTGCATCCATCCACTTCCTCTCCCTCCACGGCAACCAGCCTGTCCATCTCCTTTAATCCCGCCCTCTCTGCTGGGCTGCCCCTGTCAATGTCCCTGATGAAGTGGCCTGCAGGTAGGATGATATTTACAGGGTGTTATTGCATAAAATTATGTAGACAGATGGCTATTGTTGTTGGTGTATAGTTTAATAGTGATGATCCTATGTGGCTATTAGAAGATGTGTTGTTATAAGACATAAGGGGTTCATACATACTTATGAAAAGTAAAGTAAAGTGTAACCAAGTTTTTCTTTGGATACCTACTGAGCATCAAAATTCACACACCACACAAACAAACACACCTGTCTTGTTAGGCTCAGTCCTTAGGAAGTATCCATAGCCGTCCGATCCTTTTACCAAGTCTGCGGTGCGTGGCTTCAGTGGAAGGAGCATCACTGTGGCTAGCCCCACCCCTAGCCTGATATGTTTGTTCTTGTAGAACCTGTCTGTGTCCTTGTCCACCAATAGGAACATAATGCTGCAGCCTGATGCCTTGACCTGACACAGAGGTCACAACAGGGGCTCATTCAGGCAGGTGCAATTTTAAATAACGTTTAGATAGAAATTAACAGAAGAATAATAAACATTCTTATCTGTCATGTAGAATAAAGACTTATGACATATGTTGCCTAAATTTAACCAATCACATTTTTTTCTGCCCTCAAGGCTGAGCTGCCCAGGAAAATCAAATGGAATTATCACTGATTTGCCAAATTATCACTGTCCTAGGTGAACAAAATGCGTTGACAGGCTGTAGAATAATTTGACAGAAATTGCAGTTAAAGTTAACCACAGAGTAGGGTAAATAAGGACTGAACCCTGACCTTTTCAACTATCTGGTCATGAGTGGCATTCTCCATGTTCTCCCCGTTGACCTCTATCAGTCGGTCGTTGGCCTTGACCCCTGCCCTCGCAGCCACACCCCCTGGGGTCACCTCTGTCATGAACATGCCCACCTCACCTGGGACACGAAATGGAGGAAAGAAAATATAGTTTAAAACAGAATCGCAATCCTAAATTCACTATCATTGGACATGCAGAAGATAGGTATGTATGTTAAGGGCCCACGCCACACGAGACAAAGATAATGTGTTAATTTGTTGCTTGATCAACAAGCGTAACAATTTAATAACAATCCTCAGAGATGACAATAATTGCTGTTGTCAGTTTCATCTCTATTATCAGCAATATCACAATCAAAGAGATAACCAAAGAGATTACATCTGTGTGTGTGTGTGTGTGTGTGTGTGTGTGTGTGTGTGTGTGTGTGTGTGTGTGTGTGTGTGTGTGTGTGTGTGTGTGTGTGTGTGTGTGTGTGTGTGTGTGTGCGTGTGTGTGTGTGCCCCACCCCTCTCATCTTTGATAGAGCGCAAAGAGAAGCCGTAGCCCCCGCTGGACTTGGCCAGGTAGCAGAGTTTGGGTTTGGGCGCCCCTCCTCCCACCCTGTTCATGGTGGGCTGGGTGGGTTTGGGGTGAGGGTCAGACAGGTCCACCCCATTAGTTTTGGCCTGCTTGTAGGATTCCACATCCAGAATGTGGAAGGTGACAGATGCACCACTCTCCTTCACCAGGTCCACTACCTAACAGAGGACACACAGCACAGGAGAAAGAGATGGGGCAAAGTATGGTATGGTGCTACAACAGTAGTTATAGCTTACATGTGTTCTCTAGTAATTCCACATTTACCCAACTAAAACTGGTACCCTACCCCAGGCACTTTAAAGGACTTGCTAAGTGTGAACAATGTCAGCGGACAAGGTTATTACCATACTATTACTATATTGCTTACACCTTTATAATTTCAATACAGTAAAAAAGGGGGAGGAGCTAGGGGTTATGTGGAATTGGACACCTGCTAGCCCTGTCAGTTTTTCCCCTCCCCCTCCTCACCCGTGAGTGGTCCATTTTGTCCACATAGGTTCCGTTGACCCGGAGGATGCGGTCTCCGTCCTTCAAACCCACCAGCTCGGCCGGCCCGCCCATCTCCAGGTTCCTGATCAGGTGACCATCCTCTCCATGCTCCACCCTCAAGAAGAAGCCAAAGCTTTGACCTGGCTTCTTACTCAGCACTATCACCCTCGGCCTGTACCCAGCCATGTCCTGCAACAGCAGAGACCACAGGGTATGAATATAATACAGAACACACACACACAATCACACTGGTGAGCACAGTCACCCTCTGTTTTTACCCTGCCATGTCCTGTAATCCAGACCAGAATGTGAGAGTACTAACACACACAAACCTACTTTCTCTTCTCTACAAAATAATAATTCTGACCCTCAAATACTCCACTGTGTGTATCAGTGGTAAACCCCATTCAATCTAATCTCAATGTCTGAAACCACCCCCACTGTCAGACTTGCCAAATGACCTTAATAACGCAATGTGCTGTAAAATATAGCTATACCAGTGGAGGCTGGTGAGGGGAGGACGGCTCATAATAATGGCTGGAATGGAGCTAATGGAATGGCATCAGACACATAGAAACCATTTGTTTGATACCATTCCACTGATTCCGCTCCAGCCAATACCACGAGCCCGTCCTCCCCAATTAAGGTGACACCAACCTCCTGTGAGCTATACTGTAGCAACTCATAGGTATGTACTGTACAGCAACATCACCCTCAGATAAATTGTAGTAAATTGGGTGTGGAGTGGAACATTTGCATAACAGAAATCTGATTGGCCACATAGAGATATAACAGGGATATAAACATAGAGATTAAAAGACTAGATATCCCGTAGAGATAAGAGACAACATATGTCAGCGTAGGGTTGGGCTGTCATTAATTACACTGATACTTTACTGACAAAAGACCTCTGGAGAGTGTATTCTGCTGACCATTATGGGTGAATCACTAACTCGCACACACACAAACACGCACACGCACACAGAAACACCATGATCTACACTCGTGTTTTAATAGTGTAGCAAAGTGCTGATAACTCCAGAAGAAGGTTAACCTGCTATGCTACCTCTCCCGTGGCCATGGGTTGTTAATGGTTAACGGCAGCCAGGGCCAGCTGAAGGTGCGAAGGGCTCTTTTAACTGGAATGTGTGAATTTCACCCCCCAATAAAGAATGTCAACGTAAGAATCCTTGTAATGTTTATTACACTGTTATCACAGAGAGAAAGAAAGACGTGTGTGTGTGTGTTAATGCGAAGGTGTAGTATAAGTCTGTGTGTGGCAGTGTGCTGATATTGGTCTGTTCCTACAGTTTGCTAACTGTTAGATTATGATAAACACAGTAATATGTAAAATTGTATCATTTAATCCGTGACACAGTCACTGTAGACTACTGTTTTTAGGGAGATTGTTTCCTGGAAGAAGATGCAGTCCTCAAATCCTATAAACTAGCCCAAGATGACAATTGCAAGGAAACTCCATCTACATTGAGTGGAACCATGATCCTATCCCATGAGTTTGAATCCTCAGGGTGGGGGTGCATGTCAAGTAGTAACCCTAAAGTCTCCTGGATCGTTATATGGAGTGCCTCTATCTCTGTTGTTGCTCTATGTTTAAGCAATAAGGCACTAGGGGGTGTGGTATATGGCCAATATACCACGGCTAAGGGCTGTTCTAATGCACGACGCAACGCGGAGTGCCTGGATACAGCCCATAGCGGTGGTATATTGGCCATATACCACAAACCCCTGAGGTGCTTTATTGCTATTATAAACTGGTTACAAACGTAATTAGAACAGTAAAAATAAATGTTTTGTCATACCCGTGCTATATGGTCTCATATACCACGGCTTTCAGCCAATCAGCATTCAGGGCTCGAACAACCCAGTTTATAATTCCATTTGAGTCATTTAACCAACGCTCTTATCCTGAGCAAATTACATGACAAATTAGGGTTAAGTGCCTTGTTCAAGGACACATCGACCGATCTTTCACTTCTTTGGCTCAGGGATTCGATCCAGTGACCTACTGGCCCAACACTCTTAACCGCTAGGCTACCTATGTCCATTATAGTCACACTCTTAAACACCTGCCATTGCCCACCACCACACATAAGATAACCAGTACATGTGATATCAAAATACTGAGCAAATAGTAGAATTGACCATGTTAATAAATATAGCATTAATTAGCATTAAAAGCTAAGTCACTAAACATAATATATATGTGATTAATTTGATCGACCACAGCAATAGGAGAAATAGTAGAACATTCACTCACCTGCTCCTGTCTCTAGTCCCAGTCCCAGTCCAGAGGAAGAGCTCAGGTAGGGTTCAGATGGTATCTCTATCTGTTTCTTCCCCGTCTTTCCCTTGTTCCCTCTCACCTCCTCGCTCTCTCGCTCTCTCTCTCTCTCTCTCTGAAGGACTTTGACAGGTCAAAGTTGGACCTAAAGGCTGAGTTATTTAAGTGTCTCGTGGCAGGAGCATCTTGGGAGATGCATGTTTTAACAGCCCAGTGACGGTATCCCTTTAAAACCACAGCGTTAATCACAACCCAGTCATCTGTTTAGAATGGTCAAAGGTGACAGAGGAGGGTGGAGAAGGCTGCAGACAATGTCAAGGATCAAGGCTTGGCAACGTCACCACAACAACCTAATAACAACAACAGCAGTAATGAAGGGTTAATGGGAGCGAAGACTGGCTGCCTAGGCATATTGCCTGGATGGAAGAATTCCATGCTTTATGGTGGAAATGGCCTTATCTGTGGGATAGTCCCCCAGTATACTACGGTTTATCTCCAAAACTATTGTGTGTAATGTATATTTATATCCGCAAATAAATAAATATAGGCATAGGCAATAGGCATGTCTTCACACCTCTGAAGGCGGTGTTGGATACAGTATAATGGTTGGTCGATTGATCTGTGAAGACTGTGTTATTGTCAGGCAGTGGAGGCTGGTTGGAGGAGCTATAGGAAGACGGGCTGTTTGTAATGGCTGGAATGGAATAAATGGAACGGTATCAAACAGCTCAAGCATATGGAAACCACAAGTTTGACTCCGTTCCATTAATTCCATTCCAGCCATTACAATGAACCAGTCCTCCTAATAGCTCCTCCCACCAGCCTCCACTGTTGTCAGGTGAGCCAGTTTGGTAGTACTGGTCTGTTTCTTGACGGACACTATAAGCCCTGACACACAGCTTGTCCGATCAACAATATCTAAACGCATCTCAACTCCGTTATCAGTATGACAATCAGAAGTACCATCTTTGACAATGTAGTTTTGGATTTAATTGTTTTGTTGAGTTTAGGGTTTGTGGGACTGTTATAATTGGACTTGGACCATTATGTACCTTGCAGTAGGTAATCTATGTCCATGTAACAAAGGGAGTTTGAGAATATGTATCTTTTCAACTGATCTCTGCCACCTGCTGTCAAGAGAGGATTAAAAAGGGGAAACCCATTTGTAAGACAACTGCCTCCCAGAAAGGATTTGATTGTAGTGGTACGGGATTGAAGACAATGAGACAGTGAGGATGAGAGAGGGAGAAAAGGAGAAACAAGAAGTGTGTATGTGCGTGTATAGGTGTATTATTGTGTGTGTTTGTCAGTTAGGTCAGAGACAGAGAGTCTGATGGGCAAGAGTTGGCTGCTGGTCAGTCACTTAACCATTGGTCGAATCTGAGGCGACTTGGTGTCTGTATACACAGACAGATGGGTGAGGGATGAGGCCCCAGACGCAGGTGTGTGTCCCTGGCGTAAACAGTAGAGACAGGATGGTGCGTTGTGCAGCCAGGGCGAGAGAGAGAGGTGACCCTCTGGCCAAGCATGTACTCCGCAGGGGCCTGTAGCTGTGTTTGTACAGATTGATGTGAGGGGCACAGGACAGGAGCCATGCAGGGCCAGGAGACTGACAGTGTGTCTGAGAGAGACAGAGCTCCTCTTCAGCTTGACCAAACACTTCTGCCTGACATATTTCACTATCCATTACCCTCGACGTGTGTGTGTAGGTGTCTGTGTGCGTGAGCGAGCGTGTGTGTGTGTGTGTGTGTTTATGTGTGTGTGTGCGTGCACGTGTCTGTGGATACAGAGACACCAAGTCTCATCAGATTCGACCACTGGTTGAGTGTGTTTGTGTCAGAAACAGGGTTAATATTTTGCTAAATTGACTCATTGTATTGGTACAAAGTAAAAATACTTGACTCCAGTTGGACATCTGTCTGGAGTCTGGTACTAGGCTGTATTTATCTATTCTACACATCGCCCTCACGCTCTCTCAGATCAGACATGCACTAATTCGCAACCTTTCATCATGCTTTAATCATTCCACCAGGTGGCGTCATTACTGTTACAACATCTGGGAGTAATCAACATGTTTTCATGTCATCCCAGAGAGAGACCTTGATGAATAACATTCTTCTCAGAGAGAAACCATGATGAATAACACTCCTCCCAGCAGGTAGCAGTCATCTCTCTCTCTCTTTCTCTCTCTCCTTTGATTGGCATTCTCATTGGGTTGTTTATGTGGGTAATTGGACCTGCATATTGACTGGCTGGCTGCATATAGAACTGGGGTATTTAAATCCGTTGATAGATTGGGTTCTGGAGCCTGGAGAAGTAATGGACAGTCATCTCTCTCTGAGGGAGAGCAGTTTGCATTCATATAACCCCACCACTGGCCTGTGGATGAGTCCCTTCTCTTCAGAGCAATACCATGCCTCAGCAGGCAGCTATCTGCTACAGTAGAACAGGTCCTTTGATTATAGTACAGCAGGTGTTACCACCAATCCAGCGGCCCATTCATCTCTGCCTGCTTTTAAGGGAAACAGTGCTGGGAAGCCATGCGGAAAATAAATAGCCTATTCGAAAATTGTTTGTTCTAATCTATGGAATACATAAATATCTGTGTATAGGCCCACTTCCTTAATAGGAAAAGCATTGTGTGATAGGCTATATTGTGCATTGTGAGACATGGATAGGCTGCATTTCACACATGAAATAACAATCTATGTCAAGTTTCATATCTACATTGGGAGATGATTAGATTGCAGTATCAATATATAGATATTTTGAAGTCATAAAGTAGAAGTCGATTGTAATAACCGAGGCCCACAATAATGAGCCCTGCAGACTTCTTTTGAAATCTGAGCTTGTAAAATCAATGTGTTTTCTTTACGAACCACTTGAGGGAGCCACCAGAGCACTCAGTCGGACGTGTCATTCATAACTTTCTACCCCAGTCAGAGGACCGTTGTCCTCCACCCCCAAACGAGTGGCCGCAAACAGACTCAACTACCAGGTCTGTCCGTAATAAAGAGATGCTCTGCTTTTTTGACACCACACTCCAAAAAGCAAGTTCTGCAGGCTCTAGTTTTGTCTAATCTTGATTATTGTCCAGTCGTGTGGTCCAGTGCTGCAAGGAAAGACCTAGTTAAGCTGCAGCTGGCCCAAAACAGAGCGGCACGTCTTGCTCTTCATTGTAATCAGACGGCTGATATAAATACTATGCATGCCAGTCTCTCTTGGCTAAGATTTGAGTAGAGGCTGACTGCATCACTTCTTCTTTTTATAAGAAACATTAATGTGTTGAAAATCCCAAATTGTTTGCATAGTCAACTTACACACAGCTCTGACACACACACTTACCACACCAGACATGCCACCAGGGGTCTTTTCACAGTCCCCAAATCCAGAACAAATTCAAGAAAGCGTACAGTATTATATAAAGCCATTATAGTATTGAACTCCGTTCCATCTCATATTGCTCAAATAAACAGCAAACCTGGTTTCAAAAAACAGATAAAGCAACACCTCTTATTACCTCACGGCACAACGCCTCTCCCCTATTTGACCTAGATAGTTTGTGTGTATGTATTGATATGTAGGCTACGTGTGCCATTTTTATGTAGTTCTGTCCTTGAGCTGTTCTTGTCTATTAATGTTCTGTATTATGTAATGTTTCATGTTTTGTGTGGACCCCAGGAAGAGTAGCTGCTGCTTTTGCAACAGCTAATGGGGATCCTAATAAAATACCAAATACCAAATACCAATCTCCCACTCCTCCTATAGCCGCAGGAAGTCGGGGTGCTGAGGGTGCTGCAGCACCCCCTGAAAAATCAGAATAATAAAATATATATTCATTGTTATTTTTTTTATCAGAAAAGTAGTGCACTGGGCCTTTACTTGTATTAGCGACCGATATAGACGTCAGGTAGCGCAGGCAAAAACTTTTCGTCAGCATCTCTGCTTTGGCAAAAAAGGTAGTTGTATAATTAAGAACAGTTTCTTGCAGGATTCAATAACATGGAATACAACCACTTTTTGTGCAGTATTAATTTACCATCCTTACAAACCACAAATGTACATTACTATATTGTACATAGGCTGGTCATCTAGGTTTGTACCTGTAGACTTTCCATCACCATTAAGAAAAACTATGCACAATACAGTAATTGAGTACATTGATACGTCAAGTGGTTTGTGATGATGTGGCTTAGTTGGTAGAGTATGGCATTTGCAATGCTAGGGTTGTGGGTTCGATTCCCATGGGGAAAAAGTATGAAAATATATGCACTCACTACTATAGGTTACTCTGTATAAGAGTGTCTATGGAAAAGGAATGAATAGACCATTTCAGTTTTCACATAGAAATAAGTTGCATTTGCAAAGTATTTCAAGAAACTGGAAAACATATACTGTATCAAGCAAGTATTTTTATATTCCACACTTATTATCAGATTAACTGTTTTGTACAGATAATTATCAGACTCAAGTCACAAATGCTGGTAAACACTCAAATACATTTTTTTTTTTTTTTTTCACAAAGGTAGTGCACTGGGTCTTTACTAGTCCTGTATTAGCTACCAATATAGACATCTTCAGTGCGGGCAATTTTTCTTCAGCACCCCACCCCCAAACTACTTCCAGCGGCAATGCCGCTCCCCCCTCCTTCCCACGCATTCAGCTGTCCCCCATAACCTCACGGCTGCAGTCCGAGCCGCAGTCACGGGCGAGGCGCAGCGGCACGGCGGGATCCCCGTACCCAACGCAAAGCAGAGATCCTCTCAACTCCGGGGTGAACACTGGCAACTGGAAACTTCAAGGATACCCAGTAAATGGGTTAAGCAGGAAAATTATACAGACAAACTAAGCAATCATTTGGTTGGATAATTTTTGGGAAAGATTTAGGCTACTTAAAAATATTTTGGGGGATTTCTATGAACGCAGTCATTTGACCACAGCAGATGCTCGCACATAGCAAGAATATAATGTGCACTTTTGACATTTTTCTTTAACCATCAAGATGGATTTACAAACCCTGAACGACACCTCACCATTCTTGGAGTGTGTGGGAGCGCAAGGCGCTGGGTCAATCGGAACAACGAACGTCAGTCTGGAACTCACAAACATCACCACCTGTGGAAACGCGTCCGTGGTGCTCAAACCGCAACATGTCAAACAGAAAGGTGAGGAGCCGGGCCATCTATATTTACGTTATTTCATAAAACTAAATGAAATGACCAAATACGCAAAAAACTATACACAAAATCAGTGTTTTGGTTTGTTAACTGGATTCTTCCTGACATTCGTGATTTTGTTTTTTCTAGTTGTTTGTTATTATTTTTGTACTTGTATGATATTTTTACTGCATTGTTATTTTCGCTAATCTGACACAAAATCCAGTTCACCATAGCCTATATTTCAACAGCAATAGGCGCTCAAACCACAGATTCCTTGAGTTTTCGTTTATCAATAGGCCTTTTCCAAATATCGAAGATAGCCTGAGACAAAAAAAAACGATTTTACGCAAAAGTTAATCACTAATACATGCGAAGTACAAATTAAAAGGTTACCATGATGCTATTCCATAATTTAATTTCAAATCGAATTATATATAATATAATAATTAATTGGTTGTAATTAATAACATTTAAATGGGCTGGAACATAATGTTCTGATTGCTACAGTAATCAGTGTCCTCTATCTTTCTAAGAATTGTAAGTCAACCGAGTCAACCATAGTGCAGATGCCTAGACTTCTCCACAAATGAATTACAATAGCTCTAGTCTAGTGTGTTTTCATACAGTGTGTGTGTGTGTGTGTGTGTGCATGCGTGAGTGTGTATATGTTTGTGTGCGTTTGTGTGTGTGCAGTGATGTAGCTAATTCATATAGCAGCAGCAGCAAAAGCAACAGCGCATTACGCATTCATGTATCCAATCTAGCCACAACTAAACCCAATGCCAGAGAACATCACACTCATTCAGAAATCGTCACTCCTGGAAATACACCCCTACCCCCCTTTAAAACCATGACTACCACCCATCCTTTAAAAAATTGTTGACAGACATTACTACTGCAATATTTACTATAAATGAAGCCAGTCCCCAGTGCAGTCAGGAGACTGAGGCTTTACCCTTTCTCCACAAGGTCAGCATTGTACTTGATCAATCTGGAATACTCAATGTTCCAGCTGTATCTGTACAATTCTAACAAGGTGGCTCTTTCCCACGCTCATTTTGATCTGTTGTTTAGAGCAAGGGCAGTGTGTGTGAGTGTGTTTCTGTGTGTGTCTGTGTCTGTGGGTGTGTGTGTGTTTCTGTGTGTGTGTGTGTGTGTGTGTGTGTGTGTGTGTGTGTGTGTGTTTCTGTGTGTGTGTGTGTGTGTGTGTGTGTCTGTGTGTGTGTGTGTCTGTGTGTGTGTGTGTGTTTCTGTGTGTGTGTGACCGTCTCTCAGATCAGTAATGGACAGAGTTGATTTTCGTTACGGTACATCAGCATCTCAATATCAATCACTGATAGAGGGATGGGTGGAGTGACATTTGATAGCTAGAGAAATGACCAAAAAGAGCATACCCTTCCAGCTCCTCCACCCATCCCTCTATCAGTGATTGATACTGAGATGCTGATGTAGCGTAATGAAAATCAACTCTGAATGCCTATGAGAAAGTGTCAGGTGTCTGAGAAATGTAATCAGGAAAATGATTTTGACATGGGAATAAGGTTGTGATACAAAACCATTATCATTACAAACCAATTATTGTCAGGACATGATGGAGGTTTCTTGTCAAACAGGAGTGGGAGTGAATTGTACACAGCACCAACCAATATAGATTAGACAGACACAGCCTGAGGGGAGATGGGAATGTTGGTCAGAAATAATTATTGGGAAGCAGATGGTTAAATGATTTTAGGCTATATCTACTCAGCATTGACACCAGCCTGTATGCAACTGGTCCATACCACACCTTGTGTGTGTGTGTGTGTGTGGGGTGTGTGTTGTGGTATGATGTGTGTTTTGTGTGGTGTGGTGTGTGTGTGTGTTTGACCAGCGCTCTGTCAACAACAGCAGTTGGTACAAACTGAGGCTGTGTACAGAGACAGGAGAGTCTGAAGCCTGAGGGAGGCCCTTCACCGCCCTGTATGTAATACACACTATATTTAGCATGCTCCTCAGAATCTCTCACACACACACACACACACACACACACACACACACACTGATGGGGAATATCCAAGACCGCAGCTGCTGCCATCATCTTTAGTCACTCAGTCACCCTAACACTTCCTCACTTTCTCACTCAACCGCTCTAATTTCTCTGTCTGTCTCTCTGTTTCTCTCACTTTCTCTTTGTCCCCGTGTGTTCTGGTATTTTTAGAGCAGTAGACTGAAGTAGGCAAACAGACAAACAGACAGTGGTGCATGCTGGTTGAATCACATAGCGGGTTGAATGATTTCATAGCAAGCCAAGCCTCCGTGACCAGAGGACTAGAGGTTCAGCTCTAACAGACTCAGACGACTCCCACATGCTTCAAACCCTCTAGTCATTGTAAAACAGACGGTCATACTTGATTTAAACTCTTTCTTGAAGGGCTGGGATTGATTCCATTTCAATTCAGTCAATTCAGGTGAGAAATTGAAAATCAATTTGACTGCAAAGCACCCTTTCTTTTCAAATCAGATTATTAAATAAATTAATTCAATTTAAATTAATTTTGTGAATCAATGGAGTTGAAATGTAGTTGACCCTGGTTTGTGTTAAGATAAATCCTCCCATCATGAGTGACTTGGTGCTGCAGACAGAATAAGCTATCATATCAAAAGACGTAACTCCGGACAAGTCATCTAACACGGCTTTGACACACACAGCAACTCAGGTTGTCTGGAAACCGTTCTCACTAGCCCTAGTGCATCACTACATACAATATGACAGTCATATAGCTGGTCATCAAGTGATATTATCTCTTACAGAAGTGCTTGACAGTTGTCACCTGTCGTATCATGCTTATTACATTGTAAAGTAGGCTGGATGATAGATGATCACTGTTGTAAATTTTTTATTAAACTAATAAAACGTCTCCCAGTAAAAAGTGTCTGCAGCCCTAGTGCACTCATATTGCTAGTGTCATTAAAAAGTAATGTTTATTCTCATGGCCCATCATGCAGTAGATGTAGTAATGGGGTGGACGTGACAAGCAGTGACAAAGACAGGCTAGAGACAGTACCAAAGACAGGCTAGAGACAGTACCAAAGACAGGCTAGAGACAGTACCAAAGACAGGCTAGAGACAGTACCAAAGACAGACTAGAGACAGTCCCAAAGACAGGCTAGAGACAGTGCCAACAACAGGCTAGAGACAGTGCCAGACAGGCTAGAGGCAGTGCCAAAGACAGGCTAGAGACAGTCCCAAAGACAGGCTAGAGGCAGTGCCAACAACAGGCTAGAGACAGTGCCAAAGACAGGCTAGAGAAAGTGCCAAAGACTGGCTAGAGACAGTGCCAAAGACAGGCTAGAGAAAGTGCCAAAGACTGGCTAGAGACAGTGCCAAAGACAGGCTATTGGTCACAAGCAGAATCCTTCTATGTCCCAAATGGCACCCTGTTCCCTATATAAAGGTCTATGGGCCCTGGTCAAAAGTAGTACACTGTGTAGGGAATAGGGTGCCATTTCCACTATTTGCTATTCAGTGTCTGTTTTTACAGTGTTTTGAGGGTGATGGGGTGGCAGATGTCTTGGTGGTTAGCGTGTTTGGCCAGTAACTGGAAGGTTGCCAGTTCGAATCCCCGCACTGACAAGGCGAAAGATCTATTGTTCTGCCATTGAGCAAGGCAGTTAGTTAACCCCCCACAACTACTATGTGTACACAATGGTGTTGTTTTGTGTGATTCTAACAAGGCAGACTCAGTGGTTGTCATGTTTATATCAGTGTGAACATGTATGCACAGGGATTTAGTGTGGATTACCCCTCTAAACAATCACAACTACTAGCTCCGTTTATGTGTGGCAACGAAGGGGGCAGAGTGTTAAATGGCAGATATGTGAGGGCAAAACTAATAAACGGGCTCTGCCCTCTCACTAAAATGGCTACCCCAACAAGAACTACAGATCACAAAATGGCAGACCGCCAAAAACGACAATCCCCAGAAGCAAGGGGAACGCTCGCAAGGTGGGGCCGACCCACATATAAGGGGTTAAGACAAACCAGGAAGAGAGAGAGAGAGCAAGGGGCTGTGGATCTGTGAACAACGGAAAAAGAGAAAAGTGACAATATATATCGGCTGGATTTACGTGTATGACCTAGACTGTTTGGATTTACCTGTTGGCTGTTGGACCTGGACCTACCTAGAACCCGATTTGTGTATCGAACACTGCTATCCTCGACCACGCTTGCGGCCTGGGCGGACCAGGACGGAGAAACCAACGTACAGGTACTGTCCTGTTCGAAATAACTCTCTCTGGGGTGATTTAGGTGACGGTCTCCCGCTGAATTTGTATACAAACTCTCCTAACCTTGAAGAGGATTGTCACACGTGGTGGAGAATGCGGGCACATTGTCGTTTGAACCGGATAAATGGACTAGCCATACCGCTAGTAAGGTACATGCTCTACAACATTCGGAGAGTACGACCCTGCCTTACACAGGAAGCGGCACAGGTCCTAATCCAGGCACTCGCATCTGTTACAAGACCATGGTGCTTGCCTATGAAGCTGTGAGGGGAACGGCACCTCCGTACCTTCAGGCTCTGATCAGTCCCTACACCCAAACGAGGGCATTGCGTTCATCCACCTCTGGCCTGCTGGCTCCCCTTCCTCTGCGGAAGCATAGTTCCCGCTCAGCCCAGTCAAAACTGTTCGCTGCTCTGGCACCCCAATGGTGGAACAAGCTCCCTCACGACGCCAGGACAGCGGAGTCACTCACCACCTTCCGGAGACATTTGAAACCCCACCTCTTTAAGGAATACCTGGGATAGGATAAAGTAATCCTTCTACCCCCCCCCCCCCCCCCCCCCCCCCTCTTAAAAAAAAAATAAAAAAATGTAAAGTGGTTATCCCACTGGTTATAGGGTGAATGCACCAATTTGTAAGTCGCTCTGGATAAGAGCGTCTGCTAAATGACGTAAATGTAAATGTAAATGTAAATGTACATTTCATATATATATTTTTTTTGTTCAGTTAGCACTCGGAAGGGTAGTCAGGTTTTTTGTGGTTTTGTTTGTTTCGTTCAGTTTGCTCAGGGACAATTAGTATGGAAAGAGCCATACAGGCACTGTTACAAGCAGTGGCAGCCCAACAAGAGGCAACTAGAGCTCAACAAATAGCTCATCGGGATGCGATACGAATGCATCAGGATGACCTGGAGTTGATAGATGCACAGAACCATGATAAACTAAAGGGAGAGATTCTGACTAGACTGGGAGTGACCAATACCGTGAGGGCACATCGCTTCCACCAGTGGGCCTACAGACTTGGACAACCCTCTCACTTGATTCACCTGGCACGGAAATGGTTGCGACCAGAGACCCGTTCATCCGCCGAGGTCGTCGAGACCATCGTACTCAACCAGTTTCAGCGAGGTCTACCCCGAGAAGTTCGACGATGGGTTGGCCAGAACTAAGTACTTTCCGCCGACCATCTCGTGGCCTTGGTTGAACGATATTGTATGGCAGGAACTTCTGAGCAGGCACAGGAGGAAAAATCCCAATTTCCCAAGCCCAGGTGAACCAGCGGACCGGGTATGACTGTTCCAGCATTGGGAGGGGGAAAGAACCAGACTGGGGGCGAGACACTCCGGCAAAAGCCAAAAACCGGGACTTATTTCCCTAATTAAAATGCAAATAAAGTTATAACATTTTTGACATGTTTTTCTGGATTTTTTTGTTGTTATTCTGTCTCTCACTGTTCAAATAAACCTACCATTAAAATTATAGACTGATCATTTCTTTGTCATTGGGCAAACGTACAAAATCAGCAGGGGATGAAATACTTTTTTCCCCTCACTGTATTGCGACCTACTGTTCTATTAAAGAAGATGCCGTATGATATAATACTGGGTAGATTATGCCACTCGCTACCCAGAAGCCATTCCCCTTCGGACGATGGCATTCAAAAATATTGCCAAGGAGTTAGTGCTCCTGTTCACCAAGGTAGGGATTCCAAAGGAGATCCTTACTGATCAGGGGACCCCCTTTATGTCCCACCTTATGGCGGACCTTTGTAAGTTGTGGCAGTTGAAACAGTTGAGGACCTTGGTTTACCATCCTTAGACGGACGGGATGGTTGAGAGATTCAACCGCACCCTGAAGTCAATGCTCACAAAGGTAATCAATAAGGATGGTAAAAACTGGGATTTCATGTTGCCATATCTGATGTTTGCCATTAGAGAGGTTCCCCAAGCCTCGCTGGGGTTTTCACCCTTTGAGCTAGTATATGGGAGGCACCCCCGGGGAATCTTACACATCGCCCGGGAAACCTGGGAGCACCAGGCCTCTCCTTATACTAGTGTTATAGAGCACGTCACGACAATGCAAGACAGGATAGACAAAGTCACGGCCATCGTCAGAGAGCACATGAGGCAAGCACAAGAGCACCAGCTGCACACTTATAACCGGAAGGATACCCTGAGGGAATTTCAACCGGGAGATAAGATGTTAGTGCTGGTCCCCACGGTAGAGTGTAAACTACTAGCCATATGGAAAGGACAGTATGAAGTGCTGGAGAAAATAGGATAAGTTAATTATCGGATCCGACAGCCAGGTCGTCGGACCCCAGAACAGATCTATCACATAAACCTGTTAAAAGCATGGAGAGAGAGAGAAACACTAATTGTCACTTACCCCACACCCACTCAGGGGGCAGCCAACGTGCAAGTTTCACCAACTCTGTCCCCAACACAAGTACAGGAAGTAAAGACCCTGATCCAGAGAAACAGATGTGTTTTCAGGGATACCAGTACGAACTGAGGTTACGGCTCATGATATTGTTTCCCTACCAGGGAAAAAAGTGAGCATGAGGCCATATCGGGTACCCGAGGCTCGACGAGCCCGACTAGAGCGGAGACTGAGAAAATGTTGGCAGCTGGAGTGGTCGAAGAGTCACATAGTGAGTGGTCTAGCCCAATTGTGATGGTCTCCAAGCCCGATGGGTCTTTGTGGTTTTGTAATGATTTTCGGAAGGTAAATTAAATCTCCAAGTTTGATGCCTACCCCATGCCCCGAGTAGATGAACTATTGGAGAAAGTTGGTAAAGCTCGTTACATTATGAACCCTGGACCTAGCCAAAGGTTACTGGTAAATTCCCCTGACCCCCAGAGCCAAAGGAAAGAGAGCCTTCGCAACCCCTGACGGTTTGTTTCAATACACCGTCATGTCATTCGGCTTACATGGGGCCCCAGCCACCTTTCAACGACTAATGGACCAGGTCCTAAAACCGCACCGAGCTTATGCCGCAGCCTATTTAGATGACGTGGAGATCTACAGCCCAGATTGGGAATTCCACTTACCCCGGGTACAGGCAGCGCTAAACGCCCTTAGGAAGGCAGGGCTCATGGCGAACCCTGCCAAGTGTTATGTGGGGTTAGAGGAAACCGAGTATCTGGCATACACCGTGGGAAGACGGTTAATCAAACCCCAACTTAAGAAGGTTGAGGCAATTAGAGGATGGCCGAAACCAGTAAATAAGAAGCAGGTTTGAGCCTTCCTAGGGTTGACAGGTTACTACCGGAAGTTCATCCCAAATTATGCTACAGTGGCCGCCCCACTCACCGACATGACTAGAGCCAGAGAGCCAAACATGGTAAAATGGGATGAAAAGTCCACCAAAGCATTTAGAACATTACAGGACGCTCTCTGCTGTAATCCAGTGCTGGTGGTACCAGACTTTGAGCGTGAGTTCGTGGTTCAGACGGTGCCTCAGAGGTCGGGTTGGTAGCCGTGCTCTCCCAAGAGGTAGAAGGGGTGGAACACCCCATCCTGTTTTTAAGCAGGAAGCTGGAACCACGGGAGGCCAATTACTAAGTCGTTGAGAAAGAGGCGCTGGCAGTAAAGTGGGCTCTAGAAAGCCTGAAATATTAACTGCTAGGGCGCCACTTCACCCTCATCAGTGACCATGCCCCACTCACCTGGTAGCATAGAGCTAAAGAGAAGAACGCTCGGGTGATGCAGTGGTTTTTGAGTCTCCAACCGTTTCAATTTTACTTAAAACACAGAGCAGGGAAGGAAATGTGGATGGGTTATCCCGCATGCATGCCTATTTTGCTGAGGTAACCTGACCTAGGGGGTCGAAGCTAGGGGGGGAGATGTGTGGCAAAGAAGGGGGCAGAGTGTTAATGGCAGATATGTGAGGGCAGAACTAATAAACGGGCTCTGCCCTCTCACTAAAATGGCCAACTACTGATCACAAAATGGCCGACTGCCAAAAACTACAATCCCCAGAAGCAAGGTGGGGCCGACCCACATATAAGGGGGGAGGGAGGGAGGGAGAGGGAGGGGGAGGGAGAGGGAGGGAGGGAGAGGGGGAGGGAGAGGGAGGGGGAGGGAGGGGGAGAGGGAGGGAGAGGGAGGGGAGGGGAGGGGAGGGGGAGGGGGAGGGGGAGGGGGAGGGAGGGGGAGAGGGAGGGGGAGGGAGGGGGAGAGGGAGGGGGAGGGAGGGGGAGAGGGAGGGGGAGAGAGAGGGAGAGAGGGAGAGAGAGAGGGAGAGAAAATCTGTGAACCACGGAAAAAGAGAAAAGTGACTATATATCGGCTGGATTTACCGTGTATGACCTGGACTGTTTGGACTTACCTGTTGGCTGTTGGACCTAGACCTACTGAGAACCCGATTCGTGTATCGAACACTGCTATCCTCAACCACGCCTGCGGCCTGGGCGGACCAGGAAGGAGAAACCAACGTACAGGTACTGTCCTGTTCGAAAGAACTCCCTCTGGGGTGATTTTGGTGACGGTCTCCCGCTGAATTTGTGTACAAACTCTCCTAACCTTGAAAAGGATTGTCACAGTAGTTTCCCGCTCTCCGTCCCCCTCTGACTGTGTAAGCTAAGGAGAGATTTGTGCTGTACCTTAAAATGGGGAAAATCTAACCAGGAAGATATCTGTGTGTGTTGTTTACATTTGGAAATGTTGGTGCATGAGGCCGAGGTTGCTAGGCTAGTGAGTATTGGGGAGAGAAACTTGAGGAAACGTTCAACAAACTACAATTTGAGTAATCAGTTAGCACATGTATACCCAAAAATCAAATAAAATCAAATTGTATTTGTCACATGCGCCGAATACAACAGGTGTAGACTTTACAGTGAAATGCTTACTTACAACAATGCAGTTTTAAGAAAAATAAGTGTTAAGTAAAAAAAATTATAACTGTTACGCACGCCTCTCGGAAGAGGGAACGCAACACCCTGCTACAACTCAACTCTCCGTGGTGTGAAAGAGGTATGGGACTGTAGGTGTGAGTAAGGATGACAAAAGGCAGAGAATACCATTAACAGGGAATTTATTCCTTCGCACGGTAAGTTTGGGGAAAAGGGGCTGGACGGAACCAAAGCAAAGAAAGTAAATATCAAAGCCCCCTCTCTTACCTTACCTGCCTACCCACTACTTACTTAACTAGCACCACCTGGTGCACTAACCAAAATACAAAGGATGGTCCGCCCAGGTCTTTCCTAGTGTGCATAGACAGTCAACTTCTACGGGTAATGTATGCCCGCGGGCCTCTTACCTAAGCACTCCCTAGGTGCCTTCCCCTTCCCCCCTTGGGAACAAATGAAACAAAAATAGCACAAACTGGTTCAACAACAAACCTGAGAAAAAAACTTACTCAGGACATTAAAGAAACTCTGAGCCACAAACTAACACAAAACATTACAATTGGTTCTCAGAGCACAGTACATACCAAACTCTTAGCATACAACCAACATGCTGTAACTCTCAGCAATTCTGGTTCTGAGCAACTGGGGCTTATATAGCTTCAGGAGGAGTTGGTAAATTGGAGACAGCTGCGTCCTGACGAGGGCGCGGTGTCAGCTCTCAAATCATCAATGTTTTTCAAATCAATCAGCTGCTTGTTGGGGAATTTCAGGAACCCATTTCCTGAAATACCTACATGAAAATACACAAACCACAACATAGAAACTGGGGAACGTAACAATAACAAATAATTAAAAGAGCAGCAGTAAGACAATGCAAATAGTCCAGGTAACCATTTGATTAGCTGTTCAGGAGTCTTATGGCTTGGGCGTAGAAGCTGTTAAGAAGCCTTTTGGACGTAGACTTGGCGCCATGGTACCGCTTGCCGTGCGGTATCAGAGAGAACAGTCTATGACTAGGGTGGCTGGAGTCTTTGACAATTTTTAGGGCCTTCCTCTGACACCGCCTGATATAGAGGTCCTGGATGGCAGGAAGCTTGGCCCCAGTGATTGTACTAGGCTGTACGCACTACCCTCTGTAGTGCCTTGCGGTCGGAGGCCGAGCAGTTGCCATACCAGGCAGTGATGCAACCAGTCAGGATGCTCTCGATGGTGCAGCTGTAGAACTTTTTGAGGATCTGATGACCCATGCCAAATCTTTTCAGTCTCCTGAGGGGGAATAGGCTTTGTCGTGCCCTCTTCACGACTGTCTTGGTGTGTTTGGACCATGATAGTTTGTTGTTGATGTGGACACCAAGGAACTTGAAGCTCTCAACCTGCTCCACTACAGCCCCGTTGATGAGAATGGAGGTGTGCTCGGTCCTCCTTTTCCTGTAGTCCACAATCATCTCCTTTGTCTTGAACATGTTGAGGGAGAGTGACTCCAGAGTGGCACAGTGGTCTAAGGCACTGCATCGCAGTGCTAGCTGTGCCACTAGAGATCCTGGTTCGAGTCCAGGCTCTGTCGCAGCCGGCCGCAACCGGGAGACCCATGGGCGGCGCACAATTGGTCCAGCGTCGTCCAAGGTAGGGGAGGGTTTGGCCGGCAGGGATGTGAGTTCGTTTCCCACGGGGGGCCAGTATGAAAAAAATAAAAATAAACATATGCATTCACTAACTGTAAGTCGCTCTGGATAAGAGCGTCTGCTAAATGACTAAAATGTAATGTAAAATGAGAGGTTGTTATCCTGGCACCACACGGCCAGGTCTCTGACCTCCTCCCTACAGGCTGTCTCATCGTTGTCGGTGATCAGGCCTACCAATGTTGTGTCGTCGGCAAACTTAATGATGGTGTTGGAGTCGTGCCTGGCCATGCAGTCATGGGTGAACAGGGAGTACCCCTGAGAGGCCCCCGTGTTGAGGATCAGCGTGGCAGATGTGTTGTTACCTACCCTTACCACCTGGGGGCGGCCCGTCAGGAAGTCCAGGATCCAGTTGCAGAGGGAAGTGTTTAGTCCCAGGGTCCTTAGCTTAGTGATGTTCTTTGAGGGCACTATTGTGTTGAATGCTGAGCTGTAGTTAATGAATAGCATTCATTAGTTCCTTTTGTCCAGGTGGGAAAGGGCAGTGTGGAGTGCAATAGAGATTGCATCATCTGTGGATCTGTTGAGGCGGTATACAAATTGGAGTGGGTCTAGGGTTTCTGGGATAATGATGTTGGTGTGAGCCATGACCAGCCTTTCAAAGCACTTCATGGCTAAAGATGTGAGTGCTACGGGTCTGTAGTCTTTTAGGCAGGTTACCTTAGTGTTCTTGGGTACAGGGACTATGGTGGTCTGCTTGAAACATGTTGGTATTACAGACTCCATCAGGGACAGGTTGAAAATGTCAGTGAAGAAACTTGCCAGTTGGGTGAAGTATTGATGGAAGATATAGGCCCAGGTTCTGACCCAAGGGGTGGAAATGTACAATTCTCTTTCTTTTCTAGTTACAGTATGTCTCTGTTTCCCTTCATCCCTCCCTCCCTACCTCTCTGTCTCTCTGTCTCTCTGTCTCTCTGTCTCTCTGTCTCTCTCTCTCTCTCTCTCTCTCTCTCTCTCTCTCTCTCTCTCTCTCTCTCTCTCTCTCTCTCTCTGTCTCTGTCTCTGTCTGTCTCCACTACCTCTCTCTCTCTCTCTCTCTTTCTCTCTCTCTCTCTCTCTCTCTCTCTCTCTCTCTCTCTGTCTCTGTCTCTGTCTCTGTCTGTCTCCACTACCTCTCTCTCTCTCTTTCGCTCTCTCCCTCTCTCTCTGTCTGTCTCCACTACCGCTCTCTCTCGCTCTCTCTCTCTGAGAAGGGGTGATGTGCGTGTGTGATGGTCAATATTGATATCCCATGGGTAATTAAGGAGAGAATTTGCTCCTCTCCTCTTCTGGTACAGACAGCCAGCAGGATGACAAAAGTAAATGTGCTCAGGGAGTTATGGCTGTTCCCTGCACAGCCACCGAGCACACAGGGAAACTAATTGGCTTCGATTAGGCTGAAGCCATATTTTCATGAGAGATATGCACATACGTGCCACAAACACGTGAATGCACTTACCACAGTTCCGCTCAACTTGTTATTGAGAATGTGTTTAATTGCAGGCGCCTCCAAACACATTCTAATGAGCCAACACTGAGGTGGTGCCAACTCAGAGCTCAGACACAGCATCTGGGTAATGTTATATGAAGAGGTGAGTGAGGGAGAGCGAGAGAGAGAAGGAAAGAAAGAAAGAGTGTGTGTGAAGATATTTTTGTTACTGCATATTACAGCGTGATGTAGGGGTGTAACGATCCATCTACTACATCGATGTATCGATTTATATTCCTATGATCCAACTACATCGATCTGTGCTCGGCGAGTTGGCCTTTTGGACAACATATATCGATCTAACATCGTTTTAAAATGTAATAAATCGATTGTATCGATACTAGGAAATAACCCATTGGATTTAAGCACGTCAGACTTTATATGGATGTTTTTTCTTAGCACTTTTAATGATAAAGGCTTTAAACATTACTCGATTCAGTCTGCCTATCCGTGACGTCATTGCGCCAGCAGCAGCGCAAAGGCGCCAAGACAACAAAACATAGCATGGCGGACGACAGAGGAGAAGCCGACGAGCGAGAAATTATCAAGCCACCATTGCGGTCCTTACAAGAAACAGGAATCTAGGAAACTTCACCTGCACTGTCCAGTATCCAGGTATTTATTTCAGTCACACTGGTTGAATTTTTGGCTAAAAGGTTACTGAATCGATTTCAAGTCACTGAATCGTTTCGGATCGTATCGTTCTAAATGAACCAATATCGTCCTTGAATTGTATCGACAACCACGAATCGTGATACAAATCGAATCGTTGTTAAAACGAATCGTTACACCCCTAGCGTGATGTTATCATCTTTTAGGCAATGTGTTGGTTGATACAAGTAAGGCCTGTGTGATAAATCAGAGCCTGCAGCCATCACCTGCTGTGGATGTATTTCAAGGCCTACCTTCAAACTCAGTGCCTCTTTGCTTGACATCATGGGAAAATCAAAACAAATCAGCCAAGACCTGGTTCATCCTTGGGAGCAATTTCCAAACGCCTGAAGGTACCACGTTCATCTGTACAAACAATAGTATGCAAGTATAAACACCATGGGACCACGCAGCCGTCATACCGCTCAGGAAAGAGACGCGGTCTGTCTCCTAGAGATGAACGTACTTTGGTGCAAAAAGTGCAAATCAATCCCAGAACAACAGCAAAGGACCTTGTGAAGATCCTGGCAGAAACAGGTACAAAAATATCTATATCCACAGTAAAACGAGTCCTATATCGACATAACCTGAAAGGCCGCTCAGCAAGGAAGAAGCCACTGCTCGAAAACCGCCATAAAAAAGCCAGACTACGGTTTGCAACTGCACATTAGGACAAAGATCATACTTTTTGGATCATACAAATGTCCTCTGGTCTGATGAAACAAAAATAGAACTGTTTGCCCATAATGACTATCGTTATGTTTGGAGGAAAAAGGAGGCTGCTTGCAACCCAAAGAACACCATCCCAACCGTGAAGCACGGGGGTGGCAGCATCATGCTGTGGGGGTGCTTTGCTGCAGAAGGGACTGGTGCACTTCACAAAATAGATGGCATCATGAGGAAGGAAAATTATGTGGATATATTGAAGCAACATCTCAAGACATCAGTCAGGAAGTTAAAGCTTGGTTGCAAATGGGTCTTCCACATGCACAATGACACCAAGCATACTTCCAAAGTTGTGGCAAAATGGCTTAAGGACAACAAAGTCAAGGTATTGGAGTGGCCATCACAAAGCCCTGACCTCAATCCTATAGAAAATTTGTGGGCAGAACTGAAAAAGGGTGTGCGAGCAAGGAGGCCTAGAAACCTGACTCTCTCTCTCTCTCTCTCTCTCTCTCTCTCTCTCAATGCAAATGGCTATATTGGTGTGGGAAGCATGTTTACATTGCAAAAGCAAGTGGAATAGATAATAAACAAAAGTGAAATAAACAATCAGAAATTAACAGTAAACATTACACTCAAAAGTTTCGAAAGAATAGACATTTCAAATGTTCTATCATGGTTATGCACAGTGTTGTAACAATGTGCAAATTGTCTGTCTCTGTTTCTCTCTTTCTTTCTCTCTCTCTCCTAAACCTGAGCTACATTTCATTTCAAATGGTTGCCCCCTCACGTCTGATCCATTCACTCACTCACATTCCTGATTCGGCCCACAGTGAGTTTGGGTCAGTGACGTACAGTACATGGTAGCATACTTTAAGTGACACTTCAAATAAAGCCACTATAGTGTTTTACTATACACTATCAGGTCTTAGCTATTATACCACTTTTCTCCAATGAACATTCCTTATCCCCCCTATTCAATCATAAAGCAATACATTATTATCTACTGTTACTTTCTCATGACCTATAGACACGGCTAGAAATGTAATCGCCATAATTAATGGCGGCGCATTAGGCCATGGTCTGGAAGTGAATGGTGTCTCGTAGAGAGAAAAAAATATGATTGCTTTGAGAATCATCCATTTGGTTTCCAATTGCTTTCCAGACCAGAAGAGGTATCCCAATAGAACCTTTTAAGGTAGTCAATGGAGACTGGAACTATTTATCTTTTTAATTGACCTTACTTCCTCTCTCTCTCTCTCACTCTCTCGCTCTGTCATATACAGTTGAAGTAGGAAGTTTACATGCACTTAGTTTGGAGTCATTAAAACTCGTTTTTCAACCACTCCACAAATTTCTTGTTAACAAACTATAGTTTTGGCAAGTCGGTTAGGACATCTACTTTGTTTATGACACAAGTCATTTTTCCAACAATTCACTGTATTACAATTCCAGTGGGTCAGAAGTTTACATACACTAAGTTGACTGAGCCTTTAAACAGCTTGGACAATTCCAGGAAATGATGTCATGGCTTTCGAAGCCTCTGATAGGTTAATTGACATCATTTGAGTCAATTGGAGGTGTACCTGTGGATGTATTTCAAGGCCTACCTTCAAACTCAGTGCCTCTTTGCTTGACATCATGGGAAAATCAAAACAAATCAGCCAAGACCTGGTTCATCCTTGGGAGCAATTTCCAAACGCCTGAAGGTACCACGTTCATCTGTACAAACAATAGTATGCAAGTATAAACACCATGGGACCACGCAGCCGTCATACCGCTCAGGAAAGAGACGCGGTCTGTCTCCTAGAGATGAACGTACTTTGGTGCAAAAAGTGCAAATCAATCCCAGAACAACAGCAAAGGACCTTGTGAAGATCCTGGCGGAAACAGGTACAAAAATATCTATATCCACAGTAAAACGAGTCCTATATCGACATAACCTGAAAGGCCGCTCAGCAAGGAAGAAGCCACTGCTCGAAAACCGCCATAAAAAAGCCAGACTACGGTTTGCAACTGCACATTAGGACAAAGATCATACTTTTTGGATCATACAAATGTCCTCTGGTCTGATGAAACAAAAATAGAACTGTTTGCCCATAATGACTATCGTTATGTTTGGAGGAAAAAGGAGGCTGCTTGCAACCCAAAGAACACCATCCCAACCGTGAAGCACGGGGGTGGCAGCATCATGCTGTGGGGGTGCTTTGCTGCAGAAGGGACTGGTGCACTTCACAAAATAGATGGCATCATGAGGAAGGAAAATTATGTGGATATATTGAAGCAACATCTCAAGACATCAGTCAGGAAGTTAAAGCTTGGTTGCAAATGGGTCTTCCACATGCACAATGACACCAAGCATACTTCCAAAGTTGTGGCAAAATGGCTTAAGGACAACAAAGTCAAGGTATTGGAGTGGCCATCACAAAGCCCTGACCTCAATCCTATAGAAAATTTGTGGGCAGAACTGAAAAAGGGTGTGCGAGCAAGGAGGCCTAGAAACCTGACTCTCTCTCTCTCTCTCTCTCTCTCTCTCTCTCAATGCAAATGGCTATATTGGTGTGGGAAGCATGTTTACATTGCAAAAGCAAGTGGAATAGATAATAAACAAAAGTGAAATAAACAATCAGAAATTAACAGTAAACATTACACTCAAAAGTTTCGAAAGAATAGACATTTCAAATGTTCTATCATGGTTATGCACAGTGTTGTAACAATGTGCAAATTGTCTGTCTCTGTTTCTCTCTTTCTTTCTCTCTCTCTCCTAAACCTGAGCTACATTTCATTTCAAATGGTTGCCCCCTCACGTCTGATCCATTCACTCACTCACATTCCTGATTCGGCCCACAGTGAGTTTGGGTCAGTGACGTACAGTACATGGTAGCATACTTTAAGTGACACTTCAAATAAAGCCACTATAGTGTTTTACTATACACTATCAGGTCTTAGCTATTATACCACTTTTCTCCAATGAACATTCCTTATCCCCCCTATTCAATCATAAAGCAATACATTATTATCTACTGTTACTTTCTCATGACCTATAGACACGGCTAGAAATGTAATCGCCATAATTAATGGCGGCGCATTAGGCCATGGTCTGGAAGTGAATGGTGTCTCGTAGAGAGAAAAAAATATGATTGCTTTGAGAATCATCCATTTGGTTTCCAATTGCTTTCCAGACCAGAAGAGGTATCCCAATAGAACCTTTTAAGGTAGTCAATGGAGACTGGAACTATTTATCTTTTTAATTGACCTTACTTCCTCTCTCTCTCTCTCACTCTCTCGCTCTGTCATATACAGTTGAAGTAGGAAGTTTACATGCACTTAGTTTGGAGTCATTAAAACTCGTTTTTCAACCACTCCACAAATTTCTTGTTAACAAACTATAGTTTTGGCAAGTCGGTTAGGACATCTACTTTGTTTATGACACAAGTCATTTTTCCAACAATTCACTGTATTACAATTCCAGTGGGTCAGAAGTTTACATACACTAAGTTGACTGAGCCTTTAAACAGCTTGGACAATTCCAGGAAATGATGTCATGGCTTTCGAAGCCTCTGATAGGTTAATTGACATAATTTGAGTCAATTGGAGGTGTACCTGTGGATGTATTTCAAGGCCTACCTTCAAACTCAGTGCCTCTTTGCTTGACATCATGGGAAAATCAAAACAAATCAGCCAAGACCTGGTTCATCCTTGGGAGCAATTTCCAAACGCCTGAAGGTACCACGTTCATCTGTACAAACAATAGTATGCAAGTATAAACACCATGGGACCACGCAGCCGTCATACCGCTCAGGAAAGAGACGCGGTCTGTCTCCTAGAGATGAACGTACTTTGGTGCAAAAAGTGCAAATCAATCCCAGAACAACAGCAAAGGACCTTGTGAAGATCCTGGCGGAAACAGGTACAAAAATATCTATATCCACAGTAAAACGAGTCCTATATCGACATAACCTGAAAGGCCGCTCAGCAAGGAAGAAGCCACTGCTCGAAAACCGCCATAAAAAAGCCAGACTACGGTTTGCAACTGCACATTAGGACAAAGATCATACTTTTTGGATCATACAAATGTCCTCTGGTCTGATGAAACAAAAATAGAACTGTTTGCCCATAATGACTATCGTTATGTTTGGAGGAAAAAGGAGGCTGCTTGCAACCCAAAGAACACCATCCCAACCGTGAAGCACGGGGGTGGCAGCATCATGCTGTGGGGGTGCTTTGCTGCAGAAGGGACTGGTGCACTTCACAAAATAGATGGCATCATGAGGAAGGAAAATTATGTGGATATATTGAAGCAACATCTCAAGACATCAGTCAGGAAGTTAAAGCTTGGTTGCAAATGGGTCTTCCAAATGCACAATGACACCAAGCATACTTCCAAAGTTGTGGCAAAATGGCTTAAGGACAACAAAGTCAAGGTATTGGAGTGGCCATCACAAAGCCCTGACCTCAATCCTATAGAAAATTTGTGGGCAGAACTGAAAAAGGGTGTGCGAGCAAGGAGGCCTAGAAACCTGACTCAGTTACACCAGCTCTGTCAGGAGGAATGGGCCAAAATTCACCCAACTTATTGTAGGAAGCTTGTGGAAGGCTACCCGAAACGTTTGACCCAAGTTAAACAATTTAAAGGCAATGCTACCAAATACTAATTAGTGTATGTAAACTTCTGACACACTGGGAATGTGATGAAATAAATAAAATCTGAAATAAATAATTCTCTCTACTATTATTCTGACATTTCACATTCTTAAAATAAAGTGGTGATCCTAACTGACCTAAAACAGGGAATTTTTACTAGGATTAAATGTCTGGAATTGTGAAAAACTGAGTTTAAATGTATTTGGCTAAGGTGTATGTAAACTTCCGACTTCAACTGTACATACAGACACCGACACAGACACACACCCCTTCCCACCACTTTCTCTCTGGGATGCCCCAAGGCCATTTGGCTGCAGGCTGTAGAGGTAGAGATCAATAGAGACACGTTGAAACAGGGTGATGTTATTGAGCTGTATGTTAAAGATATACTGCCCTTTATCTACTTCCCCAGAGTCAGATGAACTTGTGGATACCATTTTTATGTGTCTGTGTCCAGTGTGAAGGATGTTAGAGGTAGTTTCGCGAGCCAATGCTAACTAGCGTTAGCGCAATGACTGGAAGTCTATGGGTATCTGCTAATATGCTAGCATTTACCTATAAACTTCCAGACATTGCGTTAATGCTAGTTAGCAATTGCGCTAGCGTTAGTTAGCAACTTCCTCCAAATTACATGCAGAGACTGATTTATTTTGTTGTAAAAATGGTATTTACGACTTCATCTGACTCTGGGGAAGTAGATAACAGGCCTCATTGCCAAAATCCCAAAGTATCCCTTTAAACAGTACTGATTAATCTGTTAAACTGCACTAGGGCCTCTTAACAGGCCTCGTGCCCTCATTAATTACATTCTTAGACTTCCTCTGCCTGGCTGGGCCGCTCCACTCGATGGGCTTCTATAAATAGTGCTGTTGGGGTCATGACATGATAACCATCAATCCTATCTAAGGAACACAACATACACACTGTGTTGGATTGTGACTGGTGGGATCTTATTGCTTCCATCAGGCTTTAAATGTATCATGTTATGTGATCTCCACCTCTGTTTGTCACCCCCTCTCTCTCATTCTCCCTTCTCTTTCTTTCATTAACCGACCCCACCCCTCTATCTGTTCTCTATCTCTCGTTCTTATCATCCTCTCTCCTCCCTTTCCTCCTCTCTCTCCTCTCTCTTCTCCTCTCTCCTCTCTCTCCTCCCTCTCTTCTCTCTCCTCCCTCTCCTCCTCTCTCCTCCCTCTCCTCCTCTCTCCTCCTCCCTCTCCTCCTCCCTCCAGAGGTGGACTCGCTGCGTATCCTGCTCTATTCGGTCATCTTCCTCCTCAGTGTGTTGGGAAACCTGCTCATCATTGTAGTCCTGGCGGTCAACAAGCGCATGAGGACGGTCACCAACTCCTTCCTGCTGTCGCTGGCGGTCAGCGACCTGATGATGGCCATCTTCTGCATGCCCTTCACCCTCATCCCCAACCTAATGGAGGACTTCATCTTCGGACCGGCCATGTGCAAGATAGTGGCCTACCTCATGGGTGAGACAGGAGGAGGGACAGGGGAAGAGACAGTGGGAGGGACGGTGGTGATATTGGGGGAGGAACGGGGGAGAGAGGGGAAAATATTGAGGGAGGGTGTGAGAGTTAGAGAGGTGTGGAGAGGATATGGATAGAGATGGGGGAGAGCGAGAGAGGCAGAGCGAGAGACAGCGAAGACTCAGTGACTGACCCAAACTTAACGAAAGCTTTGACTATGTACACTCAGTGAGCATAGCCTTGCTATTGAGAAAGGCCGCCGTAGGCAGACCTGGCACTCAAGAGAAGACAGGCTATGTGCACCCTGCCCACAAAATGAGGTGGAAACTGAGCTGCACTTCCTAACCTCCTGCCAAATGTATGACCATATTAGAGACACATATTTCCCTCAGATTACAGCGATCCACAAAGAATTAGAAAACAAACCCAATTTTGATAAACTCCATTGTCTACAGGGTGAAAAACCACAGTGTGCCATCACAGCTGCAAGATTTGTGACCTGTTGACACAAGAATAGGGCAACCAGTGAAGAACAAACACCATTGTAAATACAACCCATATTTATGTTTATTTATTTTCCCATTTGTAGAGAGAGAGAGAGAAAAGAGAGAGAGAGAGAGAGAGAGAGATGAGAGAGAGAGAGAGATTAGGGAAGAGAGGAGAAGAGAGACCGAGAGAGCAGAGGAGATGGAAGAGAGAGATGCCGACAGAGGAGAGAGTCGAGAATCGAGAGGCGAGAGAGACGGACGGAAGACGTAGGGAGATGTGAGAGAGGAGGAAGAAGTCACCGCAAGGGAGAAAGGACAGAATGAGAGACATGCATGAGGGAGAGGAGGGAGAGGAGATGTGAGAGGAAGGCAGAGACAGGCTAGGAGGGAAGAGTGAGACGAGATGTGCTTCAGCTGGGGCGTGATCTCAAGTGCTCCGATGGTCAGCAGAATGCGAGGGAGGAGCGACAGGACCGGAGTCAGAGGAGAGGAGAGGAATAGCGAGAAGAGAAGAAGAGAGAGAAGGAGAACACAAACATGCAGGTCCAGGCAGAGACAGAGACAGAGACGCACCGACAAGAGAGTTAGCATGTAGACTAGCAGGAGATAGGATGTGTGGAGTTAGGAAACCATTGTCACCCAGTGGCATGGATGGAACTGTGAGACAGAGAATCATCATTAGGATGCATTGAGGGGAACGGGCAGGCTCTGGGAATCTGCTGTTGTCTTCCGCTGGCCGTGATCTCCAGCTGCTCCCGATGGTCCCCACAGAATAGCGCAGCACAGGACCCCTCACAGACATACATAGCATATCGCACATGGATGAACACACACAAGCATGCAGGCTCCCAGGCATGCACACACGCACCCAGACACACATAGTCTCATGTCATGTTCCAGCTAGCAGGAGGATATGGATTAGGAGGTGAGCAAAGAGTAATTTCCCTTCTCCAGTCTGGGGGCCGTGGGGATCATAGCGATCAGATCAGGAGGTTCAGCGAAATGTGATTTCCTCAAACACCATCTCTATCTAGCCAAGGTCTCACACTCATGTTTCACTAACACATCCTTAAAAATACATCTTCACTCAAAAATGCTCAGCGCATACTAATCTCTGATTCATAAACTACAGTTAGGGTCACATTTAATCTGATCCCTGATGTTTTTGAAAAGTTTGAACCTTTCAAGAATTTAACTTAGCAGAACTTTTACGTAACTTTAGTTAACAGAAAACGTTTTAAGTATGTATGTCTTTTCTCATTTCCTTACTTTTCAACAGGTGTATCCGTGAGTATCTCCACCTTCAGCCTGGTTGCCATAGCAATCGAGCGCTACAGCGCCATCTGCAACCCGCTGAAGTCGCGGGCGTGGCAGACCCGTTCCCATGCCTACCGGGTGATCGCCGCCACCTGGCTCCTGTCCTTCATGATCATGACCCCCTACCCCGTGTTCAGCCACCTGAAACACGTCCCCCTAAAGGACAACATCACCATCACACGCATGTGTCGCCACATCTGGCCCTATCGTGAGGTGGAGCAGACCTGGTGAGTTGGTGTGTGTGTGGGGGGAGTTGGTGTGTGTGTGTGTGGGGGGGGGGGGGGGGGGGGGGGGGGGGGGGGAGTGGGTGTGTGGTTGTGTATGAAGTGTGTGTGGGTGGGGGGGGAGTGGGGGTGAGGTTGTGTATGAAGTGTGTGTGGGTGGGGGGGGGGAGTGGGGGGTGAGGTTGTGTATGAAGTGTGTGTGGGTGGGTGGGGGGGGGGGGGGGGGGGGGGAGTGGGGGTGAGGTTGTGTATGAAGTGTGTGTGGGTGGGTGTGTACTCATACTCATCTTACCTTTTGCTTACTACTGCATTTCAGGAGGTTTGGATGGAACTGTGATGACGAACAAAGGAAAACTGTCTACACCTATACATTAGAGTGATGATACGGCAATGTTGTGTTTGCATACTCATTAGAATATAAACACATCACTAAAATGGGGGCAACAACTAAATAAAGTGTAACTTTCCACTAAAACAAGCTTGAGGTTTGAGAAACTTCTCCAGCTGACCTTTTCCCACCAGCGATAAGTCATGAATGTGTCAGTGTAGTAGCAGTAAATGCCAGGTCACCAGGTGCACTGTGATTGGCCTGATGTGGAGGGGTCCTCTGGGGGAGCAATGAGAGAGAGGAAACACTGCCTGTAGGTGTAATGCTGCTCTCTCATTATTCTCTCATGTTGATACCGCCATGACCCTTACTCTTGTGCGAAAAACTAACTCGCAAACACACACACACACACACACACACACACACACACACACACACACACACACACACACACACACACACACACACACACACACACACTACTGAGGTTCTCCAGAAAACTAAAGTAATAGTTAGTGAGAGAGAGCTAGGAGGGAGTAGCAACACCTGAACAGGTTAGTTTTGTTTTCTCCCTTCAAATCAGCTCAGGAGTAATGTCTCACTGTTAACACATTACTCTTCCCTATCTCCACCAGTGATACCTCCTCTCTCCTCTATCTCCACCAGTGATACCTCCTCTCTCCTCTATCTCCACCAGTGATACCTCCTCTCTCCTCTATCTCCACCAGTGATACCTCCTCTCTCCTCTATCTCCACCAGTGATACCTTCTCTCCTCTGTCTCCACCAGTGAGACCTCTCTAACCATCTACCGCTTCTTCTCCCGCCTCTTTATAGCTCCCTCTCTTTTCCTCCTCATGGTAGGAGGAGCTATAGGTAGACAGGCTCATTATGTCTGGAATGGAATTAATGGAACGGAGTCAAACGTGGTTTCCATATGTTTGATGTGTTTGATACCATTCCATTCCAGCCATTACAATGGGCCCTTCCTCCTATAGCTCCTCCCACCAGCCTCCTCTGCTGTTGTCAGACATCCATTTGAAATCATTATTGAGATTAATGAAATGCACGAAACATACTCTCTTTACCCTCTCTTCCACTCTCCAAAGGGTTTAATTGTGAGTTACAAAGGCAAGTTAAAACCCTTTTAGGAACCAAAAAGAAGAAAAGACTGTTCCAATGAAAAATGCATGCAAATCTAATGATTCTAATCTGCTACAGGCTCTCTTATGATTGTGGAATATTGTTATAATAGCCGTGGTGCCTCTAAATTATTTCAATGGACTATTAATTCATGTGACTTTACCCAGAGCGGTAGTTTAATTCCAACAATTTATATTCCTAATTCACTAGCTCAATGTCCATAGTAACATTTTTAATACTCTTCGATTTCCCCTTCCCACATATTTTGTCCTCCATGACGACTGAATAGGATAACATCATTGTGGTGGAATGTATTCTATACTGGGTAGCAACCCTTATTGTCTCCACCGGTTGGACCACAGCAAAGATATTCGAGAACTGAAGATACCTCACTCCGGTTTGCTCCTTCTAATCCAATGCCTATTGGACTTCCTCTGCCTAACCTCTTTCTGGAAGTCTCCTGTGAGCGAGCCCCTTTCTCCTATGCTCTCTCAATGCTCCTTTTAGAAGCTGGCCTTAGAGTAGTCTCTAAACATCCTAACCTTAACCATTTTAAGAGGGTTAAGGCACAACTGACCTTTGATCAGTGTCTAAGGGAAATTTGTTAACCCCACTTCCTGTGTGTGTCCCAGGAACATGATGTTGCTGCTTGCCCTCTTTGTTGTTCCGGGGGTGGTGATGATCGTGGCCTATGGACTCATCTCCAGAGAGCTGTACCGAGGAATCCAGTTTGAGATGGGCCAGAAGACATCATCCCCCGGTGAGACCTTCATTACTGTTATTTCATTATTCACACATTTAATTATTCACACATTTATTTACTTCTTCCAGTAGAGGGGTTAGTAAGAAGACATTAGAATGCTGAATTGGAATGAACTACAAATATTTGAAATTTCAGTACTGGAAAAATTGCTTATCTTCCTGTTTCTGCCCGTTAGTGCTTCCCAGATTATTAGGATTTGGGCTATCTACCATTCCCCCCAACCCCCCTTTTATCAGAATGATAATCTTAATTATGGTCACACAGAATGAACATTTCATTAGCAATCCAATCATATTAATGTGTTGCAGGTTAGAGCAACATAACCTTTAGTCAGTATGTAAGTGAGTAGCTGGAATGATCTGATATGTGGAGTATATCTGCTGCTGCTGCTGTTCTATTAGAGGATGGAACTGGCTGATGGCTGTAGGCCTCGCCTTCACCATCTGTCTATCCAATATGAGAGAGGGAGGGATGGAGGGATGGAGAGGGAGAGAGAAACAGAGGGGTAGTGATATGGAGGAAGAGAGAAAGCGAGGGCACATTAACCCTCAGATGAGTGATGTGACTCAGGTTTTTGGTGATGTGCCTCCTCTAAAATACATCTGTGATTTTGCAAATCATATCTACTTCACAGGCCACAGCAAATGATATTTCCTCCATTATCCTCTCCCTCTATTCTATATTCAATCACTACTTATTGGCAGGGATAGCTTCCTTTAGACACTGCCTGTACCAATTACCCCTGCATCATGGTTATCTGGATCTTTAGCCATAACCCACCATTTGGTGATTCATCGTTGTGTCAGAGTCAGATGAATTCGTGGATACCATTTGTATGTCTTTGTGTCCAGTATTAAGAAAGTTAGAGGTAGTTTTGCAAGCCAATACTAACTAGCATTAGCACAATGACTGGAAGCATGCTAGCAGATACCCATAGACTTCCAGTCATTGCGCTAACTCTAGTTAGGAATTGCGTCAGCGCTAGTTAGCAACTTCCTTCAAACTGCACGCAGATACATAAAAATGCTCTCCACAAGTTCATCTGATTCTGGGGAAGTAGATAAAGGGCCTCATTGCCAAAATCCCGAAGTATCCCTTTAAGGTGAGCGGTTGTTTATAAGAGGCTTGCTTCACAGAAAGCGTTTCTGATGGGATCTTTAACAGGTGGTAATTATCAGAAACGGAGGAGAAGAAACCTGGGACAGGTGGAAAGTACAGTTACAGCAGGGTGTGGGAGGGTGTGTGTATGTGTGGCTCATCATGGCTAAATTCAGATGGTTGTTAAATGGATCATAAATCTCTGTGACCTGAAATTATTAGTTATGTAACCTAATTGGTCTGACCCCTCCTCACAGTTTTGGACCTCTACTTGACTCGAAAGTAAATTCTCTGTCACCTTCTTTGCCCCGCCCCTTACACAGGTCTAAAGAATGGCCTGACCGCCACCGGTGCTTGCAGCAGCGACGACGGAGATGGTTGCTACGTCCAGGTCGCCAAGCGACCGCGCTCCATGGAGATGTCCACTCTGACATCATCGACAGCGAGTGCGTCCAAATTGGAGCGTCCCCGCAGCAACACCTCGGAGGCCAAACTCTTGGCCAAGAAGCGTGTGATCCGGATGCTGGTGGTGATCGTTGCTCTGTTCTTCCTGTGCTGGTTGCCCCTCTACTGCGCCAACACCTGGAAGGCTTTCCACCCAGTCTCTGCCCGCCGTGCCCTCTCTGGTGCCCCCATCTCCTTCATCCACCTTCTGTCCTACACCTCGGCCTGCGTCAACCCTATCATCTACTGCTTCATGAACACACGCTTCCGCAAGGCGCTGCTCGCCACCTTCGCCTGCTGCTGCCGCCAGCCCTGCCGACACAGACGCCACGGGCTGCGGGATGGAGAGGAGGACGCCATGGCTATGGGGGTGTCCATGTCCAAGTTTAGTTACACCACGGTCAGCACTATGGGGACGTGCTGAGAGAGGAACCATTGACTGACTGGGGGATGAGGGGGACATGGGAGGACAGGAGGGACAAGGAGGGAAACCAGAGAGATATGTTGTTATGTAATTTCTTTAGGGAAACTGTTAACCTGCGGTCAGTAAGTATGGGGAGATGCACCCACGGTCTATAGGGAAACCAACGCCTGACCATTACTGCAATGCTAATGTCAAGGCGGCCAATGGGGTCAGAGAGATAGTTATATCTATCTGTAGGGATGAATTAACCTATGACCATGGGTAAATCAAACCAGTAGTATACACTAAAAAAGGGAAAATACTCATTAACCATGGAGAATGCTTTCCTAACATACCCATAGGAAAATGATACACGGTTTAATAGTTGCGAAACAAAAGGAAAGAAGGAAATACTATAGTAGCACAGTTTTGCATTAACATTTGTCCCAAGTGATGGGAAAACAATGTTTTGTTCAATACTGTATGTATGCCTATGTAGTTATTTCGTTATCACCTGGGACTCATTTAAAAAGCTTGCTTTCATGTTTGCTGATGAATCCCTCATATAGGACGGGAACTATTATGAGGGTGGGATATAAGGGTTATGTGTTGGTAGCACAGGTGGCTGGTGGCACTTTAATAGGCGAGGACGGGCTCATAGTAATGGCTGGAATGGAATAAATGGAATGGTATCGAACACATCAAACACATGGTTTCCATGTGTTTGATACCATTCCATTTACTCCAGTCCAGACATTATTATGAACTGTCCTCCCTTCAGCAGCCTCCTGAGGTTGGTAGGGGGGTGTATTCCTGAATGATAAGCTTTAGGGGTCGCAGGGCAGTAGCTTGACACAGTATCAGTAAAGCCTCTACTTATTCTCAATTTACTTTGGGGATTAAAATGCTGAATATGTGCTTATTATTAGTGTTGTCAATGTCCTGAAGGTGGGAACTCTGTTGTGCCTGCCTATAACATGTTGCGCTTTCTTCAAGCATTATCTGTTTACTGCACTGTGGACTGTGCCATTCATGGTGGACATTGTAAATAGTGTGTTACATTGTGGTCTTGACCAGACTGGATTGGATGTGGATTGGAGGCCAGACTTAACTGCGACCAAACCAACCCAACCCAACCTTAGTGAAGACAGCAGAGAACAAAACTAAGGAATGGGGGGTATTGGAGAGGTACTGTTCTTGTATATTTGGGCTGTTAATCTGGATCCAGCTCAGTTGCCTCTGTCTCTTTTTAGAGGTGCATCTTTGCTTTTTCAAAAACCGCTCAGTCTCTGCAGACAACTGAGCACCCGGCAACTGTGGTCCTCTGTAGCTCAGCTGGTAGAGCACGGCGCTTGTAACGCCAAGGTAGTGGGTTCGATCCCCGGGACCACCCATACACACACAAAAAAAAAATTATGCACGCATGACTGTAAGTCGCTTTGGATAAAAGCGTCTGCTAAATTGCATATTATATTATTATATTTAACTCTTGTTGCATATCATGACAGGTAGTGTACAGTGTATGTGCTCTATGGTCATCTAAAGCGCCATATCGTCTGTGTATCCATTGCAGTGTTGGTATGTGTGTTTGTTGTGTTGCTGCTAACAGGGTGTGTGATGGTACTCAGCTGAGCAGGGGATGGACTCAACCGACTGAGTGGCTTACGCATTATCTAAGGATAGCCCAAATCACCGGCTTATGCAGCTCTGTAAAAATGATCTAACGTTGTAGATTATATTATTTGGAGGCTGCGGTTTTTAAATTCAAATCAGATGTTTTTGACTGAATTACTGCTCCCTCTGAGTTACCAAACACATCGTTATTATAAACTATCCTGTCTTGTCATCTGTCTGGCTACAGGGCGGTACACATTATTCTTTATATTTGATGCTCTCTTTTTGGCGTCTCTGTTGGGCATGTTGGCGTTGTCCTTCATGCATGAGGTTGATCTGGCATCCTATTCCCTATGAAGTGCACTACTCTGATCAAAAGTAGTGCACTATTTAGGGGACAGGGCGGCATTTCAGACACAGCCCTGAGTCTCTTCCCCATCCACTCTGCTTATACTAATTGTGTTATGACCTCAGCCTGTGAGAGTGGAGGGTATACTTCCCTCAGCCTCACTACAACACAATGCTGTCAATTTCACAAAGAAAGATGTATGGTGTGCTTTTTTTTAGGTCATTTTTGAGGGGTGCAGGTCCATGATTTGGTTGAGCAGTACAGACAAGGGACTGTTCCGTGTGGTTGCCCCAAATGCATGTATGGAATCTAAAAGCTCTCATGATTTGTTGAACTCTCCATAGTTGCTATTGTGTTAGGACTAGACCATTTAGAGACAGACCTTTGCCTAAATATAGGAGACTGGGTCAAGAGAGGGTGATTAGATGGCATGGGACCTTCAACCATCTCTGAGGCTGACTGTAGAGTATAGGACAGGGTTTCTCTGGCTGAGTGTTTAGGACAGAGTTTCTCTGCCTGAGTGTTTAGGACAGAGTTTCTCTGCCTGAGTGTTTAGGACAGGGTTTCTCTGGCAGTGTTTAGGACAGGGTTTCTCTGGCAGTGTTTAGGACAGGGTTTCTCTGGCAGTGTTTAGGACAGGGTTTCTCTGGCAGTGTTTAGGACAGGGTTTCTCTGGCAGTGTTTAGGACAGGGTTTCTCTGGCAGTGTTTAGGACAGGGTTTCTCTGGCAGTGTTTAGGACAGAGTTTCTCTGGCTGAGTGTTTAGGACAGGGTTTCTCTGGCAGTGTTTAGGACAGGGTTTCTCTGGCAGTGTTTAGGACAGGGTTTCTCTGGCAGTGTTTAGGACAGGGTTTCTCTGGCAGTGTTTAGGACAGGGTTTATCTGGCTTGCAAAACGATTACTCAGTCTTCTATTCACCTTTCCCTCTCCTCTCCTCTCCTCTAAACATTCTCTCTGCTGATTAACGAGCATCTGCTGCTCCCGTTCCTCCTCCTCCTCAAGCAAAAAGACAGAGAGCGTGTTGCGTTCAAAAACGTCCCCTCCAGGGAGAGAGGGAGAGAGGGGGATAGGAGTCACACTCGAAGCCTTCACCAAGCTTTACTCAGACGTACACTGTTCACTGATTACTACTCATCCTCAGAGCACCTGAGGCACTCAGATCTGTCCACTGACCTTCTCTGTCTCAAACATTTCTCTCTGTCCCCTTTCATCTGCTAACTGTGGCAGAGATGTCAGGCTTCAGCCTGGAGTGTGTATCCAGGGACAGACTGAGAGAGCAGAGCAGAGCAGTGAGCTGGGAGGGTTTTCAGGCTGACATACAGGCTGGAGAGAGGACCTACTTTAAGCAGATGTCACCCAGATGTCAGAGCAGAGCCAGGGCAGCATGGTGTGGGCGAGACAGAGGAACTGAATCATCCCTATCTGTCTGTCACATCCAAATGAGCAGCATTTCCATTCATCAGATTCAGCCAATGGAAGGGGACTCCTAAATGTCAACCAAATTATAACGCACAGTACTGCTCTAATGACCTCTCTAGCTCTTTCCACTATGGTTTTAGGAGTACAAAGATAAATAAGACTTACTTACACTCTATCCCAGTGATGGCATCATTCTGTGGAACACAGTGAAACAGAGGTAAATGAGCGTGATCTCTCTCTCTCTCTCTCTCTCTCTCTCTCTCTCTCTCTCACGCACACACACAAAGTGACAGGAGATATTAATGCCTTTACTGGTGGCGTCTGTCTCAGGAATGCTGTATAATTTGCTTTCAGTAAACCTCTGTCAGAATCAATGAGAGCTAGAGATGCCACTCCTTTCACTTTCACATGTCATTGATCATCAGGGTTGTTTTAAAGGAGGAGATCCCTCAGTGACAGATTAAACCACTTTGCCCATCTATAATCCTAATCTCAGTTTTACCTTTGTATACGCTGATTGCTGCTTTCACGGCATGATTAATTGACTTTGTACAGGGTGATTCATTGTCCCTCCCAATAAACATGGGCTGGCACAGAATAACAATGAAATTGTCCACAAAACTAGTATTGTCTAGTCCTGAATTCCATGCTTTGGAGAGCTATTGGCCTTCTGAGAAAACAACATTTGTGGATTAAAACTATGGTGTGTGTTCATTTACAATGGTAAAAGGCCAGAGGAAAATATTTCCAGCACACCTCAGGGTTTTAGTCATTTTGTTGTCATACAGTTTGACAGAGAAACACAGAGTGAAATAGTCATTCCAGTTAACATCATGCAGATGAATTGCAGGCTATGTGTGAGGGGTAAGATGGCTGTTCTTGGACATTATTTAATTACTGTTCATGTTTCCCATGGGCAGATTAGGGATTAGAGGGCTCTCCTCACTGGCAGATATGCCCTCTGGCTGGGTATCAACAGTGCACCGCCTTCCCTTCCCTACAACACACAGACCAACAAGACCCCCAACCCAAACTCCTGTAGAGTGTGTGTGTGTGTGTGTATGTGCATGCGTCTTTTTGTGAATGGCTTTCAATACAGCATACTTAATATCTTCATATTTGGCACAGTAGATGTCCGTGTGTGTGCATTAGTTACATTATTAGAATAGCCAAGTGTTAGAAAATATACTGTTACTGTTAAAGAGACAGTTTTCTATTGGGCTTTTAGATTTGCATTCGTTCAAACTTTGGGGATATTCTATGAGGGAAGTATATGTCTAAACTCTCAGTGATGTAGGGTAGAGTGTAGCATTGTGGGTATTTCTAAGAGTCTAAGTGGACTGTTTGTGCTGCAGGCAGGTTGAAGAGGATGACGTGTTGGAGGAGAGAAGAGATGAGGAGGAAGAGGAGGAGGGCATATTTAGATCTACTCGAATGGTCACAGTCTCAAGGCCACCATTGCCTTAAGCATGTGTGTGTGTGTGTGTGTCTGACTCTTTCCATTCGAGTGGAGTTGAGTTGCGAGGGGGAGATGAAAGCATATGGGAACTCTACCGTAAAATGTTTGTGGGCTGTTTGTGTGTGTGTGTGTGTGTGTGTGTGCGTGCATGCACATAGTTGTGTGTCTTTGTGTGTATGA